TTTTGGCCGCCTCCACTGGTCTTCTGGCCCACTGTGCGGTGGCTGGCCCAGCAGCTCCCATCGCTCTGTCTCGCTCGCACTCAGAGGGCGTTGCGTGGGGGTGGGAGAGAGACGGAGCGACGAGGGTTCCGTTTCGGAATGGAGCTGGAACTGTGCCGTGATCGAGCAAAGGGCAGCGCCCTCCTTGCAAAATCGCTGTCTGGAAGGGCGGCGCTGCAGACGCTTCCTGTCCCCTCGCCCCCCGGGCGGGCAGGGCGGGCAGGGCGGCCCGGGTCGGCCGGGCCGGGCACCCCTGGGCGGCGGGGCGGCGGGGCCGACCCTCACTTCTCTTCCCGCTTCTCAGAACGTGCCAACTTTTTGCTTTCCCGCCCGCTCCCGCTCGTCTGTCTGGGCCGGGTGGCGAATTGCGAATAATGTGGCTGGCTTCTGCGAACCACGAACGCCGCGCGCGACCGACGCGACGCAGCGGTGCGCAGTGGCCGCCGCCGTCCTGGCGCGCTCGCGCTCGCGCCCCGCCGCCCAGGCCTGGGCCAGGCCGCGCAGGTGTGGGGACCAAGTTCGGGGATCGGGACCGTCGCACATTTCGCCAGCCAGGGCGGCCCAGGGCGGCCAGGGCCAGGAGTCGCGCTACGCCGCGGCATTCGTCGAGTATACGACGCGGCGTGGCGGCGTCTGGCTGCGCGGCGACGCGCGGTGACGTCGACGTCGGGCTCCAGGCCCCCTCGCTCCCCTCCCCGGCCAGACTCGACCGCGGCGCGCCGGCCTGGCCGCCCAGCGCCGCCCGCCAGACGGAGTGAATGCGACGCTATCTGACGGCGGTGGTGATTCTGCGATCAGGATGGTGGCACCATCGCGAGACGCCGGGCACGCCGGCCGCGCCGCCACGCACCACGTCAGTGCCGCCCGCCCAAAACAGGGAGAGGGGGAAGGGCGGCAGGGCACCGTCCCGACCCGCGCCCCCCGCGCCCCGCCGGGCTAAGGCCCCGTGGGCCCCGCCGTGGGCCCCGTCGCCCCGTCGCGGTCCAGCACCCTATATAAATGCGCCGGCAGGACATGGCCGGCATATACTCTCCCTTGTCAAGTGCCGCGGTGGCTGGCCGCTGCCTGGCCGCTGCCTGCCCGCGTCGTCCCCGACAGGTAAGTGCGCCAGCGCGCGCCTCGCGCCGTGCTACGCGTTTTACGCCTTTCACGCGTTTTAAGGGCGGGCCCCGATCGACTTGTAGCGAACCCACGTGGCGGCACACGTGGTCCACGGCAGCAGGGGCCACGTGCTCGTTTCGGGGAGGAGGGGGCGGGGAGGGGGCGGGGAGGGGGCGGGGATGAAAGAGAGCAGGACACGATTGTGTGCGAGGGGAAAGACGTGTTGGGGTAGGTCAGGTCACTCCACCACGCTTGCAATTTCACTCACACACACACACACACACAGCCGGTGTGGGTCGGGCTACTGACCCTCAGAGACAGGCCGCTCCCAATGGGGGGAGACGCGATTGAAACCAAATTCAGCGAATAAGCCGATATTTGCGACGGTCCGTCTGGGCGATCGGGGCGATCAGGGCGATCCGGCATTCGCATTCCAGGCTGGGTTGGGTACGCCGGGTCGCGGACGCGGTCAGCATCTGTCGGCGGACCGTCTCGGCCATGGCACGGTATGGCACGCCGTGCGGGACATACCTGGGGTCGGGGTTCGCTCGCAAAATGCGGTCAAGGGGAGCGTAGAAGACCAACAGGCACGTGAGAAAAATTGACAAAAATCAGACTAGAATGTCACCATGAATTCAACAGACCGGCAACCCCTTTTGAAAACATTCCCGAACCACGGCGCGACGCTCGCACTCCCGACGGGCGCCAAACGAGGTGGGGGAGGGGGAGGGGGGCGCCCCGCTGGTGCGGCCCGCCCTCTTCTGGCTGAATCCAGTTCGTCATCATTTCGGCCGGAGACACAAGGCACATACCGAATGGCCGAACGGTGTGGCCTTTCCTAGAAGCCGGCGGCGGTCGCAGGGCGACCCGGCCCCGACTCGTCCAAATTCCTCACATCCCTTCCTAGTAATTATAGACTTGTGATAGATACCCCTAATCCGGCCCCGCCCCGCCCCGCCGCGCCCCGCCCCGTCTGCGTCGCCCTGCAGGTTGGCGAGGCGGCTGCGGTCTCCCCGTGGTCCCCGTGGTCGTGGTTCCAGTGCCGTGGTGCCAGGCCAGACAGTATTGTCAGGCGGCAGACGCTACCCTCCCCGGCCGCCCGGCCCGGCCCGGCCCCGCCAGCCCAGCCACCCTCTCCATTCTCGAGTTTCGCATCTGCGGATATCGCCGGGCCGGGCTTTGCCGGGCTATTGAATGCCTCGGGGCTCAGGGCCAGCGGGATTCCGAACGGTGCTTGCTATCGTAGCTCAGTCTCTCTCACACTTATCGGGGGCCCTGCAAGGTTGCGATAGAGACGGATCAACGAAAGTACTGTTCGGAGCCGGCCTGCAGGGGCCGCATCTCGCTCCACACCTCGCTCCCCCGCTCCCCCTTCCAGCCGCCATTCATTGGGCCGTGCCGGGAGCGCGATGTTTCGCATTGGGCAGGTGAAACGGTGGGTGAAACATCCAGTCCACCATTTTTGCACTTCGGATCTAAGATCCGCGTTGTAAACTCTGCAAAAAGAAAACAAACATCGAAAAACAATTGATGTTCGGGGCTGTGGCGAGCATGTTGGAAGATCTGGCTCAATCGCCAAAAAAAAATGTATAAATTTACAAAACAAAATCGTATCATGTTTTACATATCGGGAGTGCAAATTATTTACAATTCAAATTGTCCATAGATTTTTCTGAAACCGCTCCAAAAATGTGCGGGAAACGTGGGTAGTTTTGTGAAACGCGTTGGGTCGGCCACGCTCCGCTCGGTGCTGGGCTGGGCGACCGGGCTGCAGGCCGAGGGCTGGCTGCACGCTCGCTGCACGCTCGCTGCACGCTGCACGCGCCGCGGCCATTTATTTGTTTTGGATTGGACGGCAAACGAAGGCCGAAGCAGACCGGCCCAATGATAGCGCGTTATTTTGAAGCGTGGGTGAGATAGGCCGCGAATGGACAGGCAGCGCAGGCAGCGCAGGCCGACAGGCAGCGCACACTTCAGCGCACGCGGAGCGGGAAAGGACTTCCACGTGGAGCAGGGCGTGCCGGGTGCTACGACCATCGACCTCTCGGCGAGGCGCGGCGAAGTGTCTCGCGGTTCGTCCAGGGGGCCGTGCAGGGGGGCGTCCAGGGCAGGGCCGTCGGCCGGCGGGCTCAGGTGCAACCAAAACAATGCAACGCGATCCCCGCTAGACACCCCCACCCCCACCCAGCGGGAAAACTAAGCCCACAAAAACGCATGCGCGCGTTTCCGGACTCGGAGCCGCGAGTTCGTCGAGGTTCGTCGAGGTTTGCGGGGGAGGAAACCTCGGAGGAAACCGAAGCGTCCCCACTCTGCCGTGCGTTTCAGCCGGTCGCCTCATAGGAATGCCACTGTGCGAAATAGTTTGAGTGGAAGTCCAAACGACAGACGGAGAGTTCAGCAACCCCGTCTGTCGCGCAGCCAGCCGCGCGGCCTCCTCCTAGCGCCCCGCCCTGCGCCGCCCCGCCCTGCGCCGCCCCGCCCCTTGGGGCATGCCTAGCCCCACCACGCCCCGCCCCGCCCCGCTCTTGCGGCTTGGCTCATTGAACTGGCCAGACACATAAATACCTAGACACCTGGGGCAGCAGGCAGCCAGCCTGCGCCCAGTGTGGCGGGGCGGCGTGGCGGCGGCGCGGCCAGTACCGCAGGACCAACGCCCTCGGCCTTCCCGCTCGCTCCCATAAACCGGACGAGGACGAGGTTCAAGCCTAGACACATAAAAAGCGGGAGACAAGTCGACCCGATCCCGGTGCACGCCTGGTGGTGCCCGCTGGAGCCCGCTGGAGCCCGCTGGAGCCCCGCCCCTCCGCGGCCCCGTCGGCCCCACTGCGCATCGCGGCGCATCGCGGGGTGGCCTCACTGCCCGCGGCCCGCGGGGCGTCGCTGTCTCACTGCCCGAGGCCCTGGCCCTGTCCCCGCTGGCCCAGATAGCCTACTCGACCGCCTACTCGATCTCCTACTCCATCGCCTATTCGATAGTCTCGATGCCTTCGGGCTGCGGCGGCCCGTCGGCAGACTCCATACATACACAAACACCTAGACCAGACGCACTCATAAATAGGCGCTCAAGTCACCGAGACGTCGTTGTCGTGTTTAAGTCAGGGCCGGTGGCCGGTTCGTAATGATTATGGTAATTATTGTAATGCGAGGCGGGACGAGGTGGGACGAGGCCTGGACGCTCGGACGAGCATGCAGAAAAACAGAATCCGTCTCCCCTTCGGCCCCCGTCGGCCCCCGTCGGCATTCGCGTCGGATGGGAGGTGCTGTCGGCGCGACGCGACGCCCCGACGCCCCCCGCGGCCACCGCGTCAGCCGCGTCAGGCAGACGGAAGAGTCTCTGCATCAATCTGTCTCTCTCGCGCTCTTGAGGCGTCCCGCACGGATGCGAGAGAGACAGAGTGACGGGACGCTGAGTGGGGTCACTCTGCAGGGTCCAGGGGGTAGTCTCGGCCCGGGCGGGCTGGATGCAGGGCGGGGGTGCGGGGCGGGGACGAAGTCGCAGAGAAGCGCAATGGGCGTCCAACTCCAGCCATGGCAAAGAGGTACTGAGTTTTACGACTCGTTTTTCCACCACCCACTATAGAACTCTAGGACAGACGCGGCCGCGGCAGGCCCCGCCGCGCCGCCGCGCCGCGCCGCCGTGCCCCACCCCTCGCGCCCTCAGCGCTGCAACAGCCCCGCCAGCCCCGGCTGCAGGCAGGGCAGGCAGCAGGCAGGGCAGCCAGGGCAGGCAGAGGTGGGGTGGGGTGGAGGGGCGCGCGGCGGGGCTTGGCGGGGCGGGGCGGCGAGGCGGGGCGGGGCGGGGCGGGGCGGCGGGCGGGGCCGCGGAGAAGCTGAGAGGTGGCGAGGCAGACCAAGGCAGAGCAGAGGCTTCTTGCTCAGCTCAGTTATACATGCACGCTGGTAGCGACTGGACCAGACTCCACAGCCCTCCCTGTATCTCTGTGACTCTGTGACCGGAACAGATAGGACCGCACCGGATCGCACCGAACCGAGCCGGAGCAAGGCGACCTGGAACGCGCTCCCTACAGTGCCGCGCGTGTGTGATGTGAATTGTTTGTACGTATCCGCAGTGACACTTGGACTTCGCGATGTTGTTGGTGTCGAGCACGAGGTGGCTGCTGCTGGTGGCGGCGATGGCCGCGCTCGCGAGAGCACACCCCGCGCTGCCGCAGGAAGAACTAGCCGTGCTGGAACACGACCTAGAAGAGGACCTTCAGGACCTGGAGGATGCCCGCGCCGTCGACGAAGCCTACGAGCGACTCTACGACAACGCCCTGTTCCTGGACCTTGCCGATGACTCCACAGCCGCCAAGGAACCGGCACCGGCGAACCTCCCTATGGACGACTACGACGGCGAGATGCCTCAGGGCGACCAGCCCATGCCCGACGCGCAGCCCGACGACGCCGACGACGCCCAGAACGCCTCCACGAGGGCGGCGTCACCAGCGCCCGCCGGTTCGGACCGCCCGGACGACACCAAGGAGGCCGCCCCCGCGACGTCGCCGTCGACGCCATCCGGGCCGCAGGCACACGCCGCCAGCCGCAAGTCCGAGCGTGAAAGGTGAGTGCTGGCCTGGCCAGACCCTAGACCCTTCTTCGTGGCGCCCTTGCCGCCCTTGCCGCCCTTGCCGCCCTTATCGCGACACTGTTTGCGAGCCGCCACAGCGGCCACTGTGACTGTGGGGCTGCGAGGCAGCGAGGCAGCGAGGCCGTGACTCTGACGTGACGTGGCCGTGGTCATGTGCGCGTGGCTCGCTGGGCACACTCCGGACGACCGTAGGTCAGTCGACAGCCTCCAGCTAGGGCCGAAAGGGGCGGGTGGGGTGGGGGGAGGGGGAGGGCCGGCCGCTAGACCGTGAGGCAGACACAAGGGCAAACATTCGCTAGAACCGTATTCGAAGAAGTAAATGTTTTTCCCCTTGAGCGTTGTCGCCTGGGACTTCCCCACGGACTTACTCGGAGGGGAACGAGAGGGGGGGCTGCGTGGGTGCAGAGCTACCCGGTTGCGACCCCCCGCCCAGCCCCGCCACCCCCACCCCTGTCTCGCCGGGATGACCCTGTTAAGCGTGGCGGGGGTGGCGGGGGTGGCGGGGGTGGCGGGGCCGGCGGGGCCGGCAGACAGGGCGACGTCCTGACGCATCGCGAATTCGCCAAGTCAGCCGGGCAGCCCTGGGCCTCGCCTCGCCTCGCGTCGCGTCGTCTGGGACGACGGCCGATCACGTATCCCAAGTCAATAAACCCTTCCACCTCCTTCTCCCCCGCAAGCTCGCCCGCGAGATGATCCGTCTGACTACCTGGCCATGCGATCTGCCGCCGCGGAGCCGCCGCGGAGCCGCCGCCGCCACCGCATGCTGGCCGTCTGGAACCGGACGCCCCGCCGCCGCGCCGCGCCCCGCCCGCCAACCCACCCCGCCCCACCCCGCCCCACCCCGCCCCACCCCGCCCCGCCCCGCCCCGACGCGCCGCGCCGTCCTAGGCCCCAAACAGACTGCGCTACTTCCGCTGGCGATGACCGCCGCGGGTTTCCTCGGCGCACACCCTCGCCCCTCCCCTCGCCCCTCCCCTTGCCCCTCCCCTCGCCCCTCCCCTCGCCCCTCCCCTCGCCCCTCCCCTCGCTTCGCCTGGCGCCGAGTCAACCCGTTTCTTACCTTGACGCCTCACGCCACGCTTCTCCCTTCCCGTCCAGTGCGTGTCCGCACCACTGCAAGTGCAAAGGGGGAGGGAGGGAGGTGGAAAAGGGGGGGGGGGGGTAGTCAGACGTCGCCCTGTCACTTCATTCAGATTCAGATTGATGAACGCGCTGCGAGGCACCGCGTCGCAGAGCGGTGCGGAGGGAGAGGGCCTTAAAAGTTTCTCAGTACGGGAGATTGAGGTCATAGACAGGGTGACAGGGCCGACGGGGAAGAGGAAGGAGTAGATCGGGCGGGGAAGGGGCGGGGGGAGGGGAGGGGGAGGGAAGGCAAATAAAATGGCTCGGCCTGCTCAGGCCGCTCGGCCCGTGGCGACTATCGGTCGTTGTATTGTCGGGCCGCACCTGTCTGGGTCAGACACGTGGGGGCACAGTAGCTTAATTTTTTCCCGAGAAACACGGGGCAACGCGCGAGTGCGTGTGTGTGCGTGTGCCGTGTGTGTTTTCTCGGACACGCGAGCACATATGCATGCGTGCGGCGGGGCGCGGCCAGCCTGTGTGCACAGTGGTGCACAGTGCCTGCAGCCCGGGCGTGTGTCCGACTGGCCCGACCTTTGCGACCACAGCGTCGACGCCACTGCTATCCGCTCCGCCCTCCGTTCGCCCTCGACTTGGGGCCGCTTGGGGCCGCTCGCCCCGGACTACCCCTACCGACGTCGCGGTGCATCGCGGCATCGGGGCCCGGTGGCCGGCCACCACCCCCGCCCGTCGCTCTGTCTCTCTTGCACTCAAAGGACGTTCCGCAGGGGTGCGAGAGAGACAGAGCGATGCAGCGCGGTGCAGAGGCTAGGGAGACCTGAGCCCCTCAGACGCCTTCCAGAATGTCGCCGCACTCGAGAATCGATACCGGGCTTCGGAGCTCCACGTCAGTCGTGCGACCCCCTCCCACCTGCCCCCACCCCCTCCCCCACACATGCACACACATGCACACACATGCACACACATGCACCACACTCGCGCGCGCGCACTCGCACACCGATTGGGATTCATTATCGGAAGAGCCAGCCCCGCCGGACGCGACTCGGCCCTGACCCTCTCAACGCGCTGTGCACAGGCATGCCATGACGAAGGGTCTGGTCGAGGGGGCTTGTTGGGGGAACGTTACTAGTCAGTCACAAATTTAGTACTCAAAGGTTACGAGTGGGACAGTGTCGAAAACGATGCCCTTCCCGGAGCAGGCTGACCGGGCAGACCATTGTCACACCGTACGCCCCGACCTTCCAAGCTGGACTAATGCCTATTTTGTCTATTCCAGCGTTGAGAGCCCAACCGTGGAGAGGTAAGACTCCCATGATTCTCCTGCCATGTTGTTGTTGTTGTTGTTGTTTGTTGTTTGAAGCATGGTAGATGATGCTATGTAGATCAGAGCGTATCTAGTGTGACTCTTAATCCGCCGTAGCAACCTTGATAGTGAGACTGTGTGCGCGTGCCTGCGTGACTTTAACCCCCGCAGCCTGCCAGTGCATGCCGTAGAAACGAACCTAACGCATGCGTAGTTGCGCGCCGACCGCCTCGGCTCGGCTCGGCGACTGCCCCGTGCACACCACGCGCCCTGCCCGGCCCTGCGGGGTGCACCGCAGAGAGGACATGGCCCTGTCCGCGTCGTTCAAAGCTCCACCAGTAACGCCGCCCTTCTTTCTGCCACAGAGACAGGGAGCTCCGCCTGCAGCACATCAAGAGCCAGGTGCTGCAGTACCTCGGCCTGCCCCCCGACGGCCAGCACCCACTCAGCAACATGTCGTCCAACCGCCAGCAGCTGTCCGTGCTCCGCGTCGTCGGCCAGATGAACCTGCCCAACGTGCCGCCCCAGGACATCATCGCCGAGAAGGTCACCAGCCACTACCCCGCCTGTAAGCCTCGTCTTTTTCGCACTCTCAGAAACGCCAGTCTCGACGCCAGTCGCATTTCGCTGCGTTTGCACAGGCGCATATCGTGCGTATATCGCGCGCATATCGCGCGCATATCGCGCGCATATCGTGCGCATATCGTGCGCCTGTGAGAGTTGTGTCTAATTTTTGTGACGCTTGCTTTCCTGCGCAGGCGCTCTGCCTCGCAACACGGACGAAGCTCTGTGGTCCGAGGGCAGGTCCATGCGGCTGCTGTTCGAGCTACCCAACCACCCTCCGCCGGCCGGGACGTCCGCCAACGTGGTGCAGGCCACGCTGCGGCTGTTCAAGGTGTCTCAGGGCGGCTCCGCGGCCCACCCGCACAAAGGCCCCATCTGCATGCCCTCCGTGGCCACCACGGCCGCGGCCGCCGCCGCCGCGTTCGCCAGCACCCACGCCAACACCGAGGACGACGACGGCGTGCTTGACGGCGACGGCCTCGGCGGCCACGCCCCCGTGCCGCTGCACGCGCTGCTGGGCATGGCGCAGGCCGACGACCGGCAGGTGCGCGTCTCCGTGTACTGGTACACGCGCTCGCTCAAGAAGAACAAGAACGGGGGTGAGTCATCGTCCGCACGAAGGGTGGCCGCGCCGATAAGCGGGAGCCAATGGCGAAGGCGTTTACTCGCGATTGCCGGCTTCGGTGTCAGCACCGCGTCAGCACACTGATTCCGAAGGCTCCTGTCACTCTATCTCCGTCGCATCCTGGGGCGCCCCCTCGGGGTGCGAGAGAGGCAGAGCGACGGAACGGCGAGAGCGATGACGACATGCTGACCGTTCCGATTTGTTTCCCTTTGCAGTGGTGGTGGAGAAGCGCAAGCTGCTGGACTCCCGGATGCTGGCGGTGCACGGCTCGGCCTGGACCGAGTGGAACGTGCGCACGGCCGTCAAGGTGTGGCGCGAATCGGGCCGCAACTTTGGGCTGGTCGTCGAGGTCGAGGACGAGGACGGCACCCGCCTGGACGCGCACCAGTTCTTCAACGGCATGAACTGCACGCAAGAGGCATGTGAGTGTCCGGCTAACACCCCTAGCGCCACGCCCTAACCCCGCAGCCCTGCAGCCCCGCGCAGCCCCACGCAGCACCCAGGCCGGCGTCGTCCTGGCCACGGCCACGGCCAAAGCCACGACGCCGACCTGGAGGCTGCACGTCGCCCCGCCCATCCTCGCTTGGCCTTGGCCTTGGCCCCCTCCTTGTGTCGTGCTGTGCGGGCATGCCTTGTGTCGTTCGTTGTTGTTCAAGTTTACCCGTCCCTCCGGGGCTCGGCTTACTCCCTGTCTAACTGTTCTTCTCCGTGTCCGCAGCCAACGCCAGACCCATCCCCAGCTTCCTCCTCGACCGACTCAACCACAGCAGTGCCTCTGGATACAGAGAGCCCGGAGGAGCTGCCTCCGGAGCGTACGCCCACGCTTTCAACCAGAACCTGTTCCCCGTGATCGACCTGTGCACCGTGGAGACGACGGACAGCAGCGGCGGCGGCGCCTTGTCCTCATCCGGCTACGACTTCGGCGTCCTCGGCCTCGGCAGGCAGTCCAAGCAGGCCACTAAGCACAAGCCGTCGGCACCGGCGCGGGCAGAGAGCCGCGGCCACAAGCACCGCCACCAGCACCAGGACGACGTCAAGGAGGCCGACGAGGAAGCGGAGCCCGTCGCGAGGAGGTGGCCCCGCGCCAGGGCCGGCCAGGACGACCGCACCCTGCACCAGAGGATCGTGTTGGCGGCCAGCGCGGCCAGGCAGCAGCACGCCGGCAAGGACAGGTAGAGCGGGACGACCTGCACCACGTCGCCGACGACCGACGACGAGGCCCCACCGCATCCATCAGTATTCTCTGTCGTTCCTGTCGCCTGCATTCCAGCCTTGGTGAGCAGTTCCTGGGCACCAAGTGGTGCGGAGTACGAAGTGTGCCCCGCCACCCGCCGCCGCACAGGCTGCGGAGCTGCAGCCAGCGTGCCATACACGGTGCCACAGCGCGGTCCGCGGCCCTCAACCCGCCTCGCGCCTAGTACAAGTTTTGAGGTGTATTTATTCGCTCGAGGAAGGGGAGAGCATGTGTAGTTTGTAAGGCCGTACAAAAGACTGTCCGTGTAAATTGTTCCGCTTAGTGTTACAGCTACGAGTTCTGATAAACGTCTAGTCTTTACACCCTTCTTGCTGGAACTTTTCTTTAGGAAAGTTTTAGGCAAGAATGGGACACTAGTTTTTATTGTAATTGAGTTTAAGTCGACGGCCTCCTGGCGTTAGGAATGTAAGTTAGTTTACTACGCCCTACATCACCGACTCCTAATATTGGTACTAATATATCCAATTTTGATACATTTGTTGTTTATTGAATCTTTTCGCCGAGCTGCGTGGTTATCGTCCAATTGGCTACAGCGTTCCAAAGTTTTTGTTTTGTGCCGTAAAGAACAGTCAAAATTTACTCGAAAGACGGCGTTGTGTCACAATTTTCTATTTTATTTTAAAGTAAAATGTTCCAACTTTTGGCACTTCTGTCAAAATGTTGAAGCACTCCCAGGGCCTTTGCGCCCCTTGATCTACATCACGCATTCCGTTTTTGCTGCTACTTCCTCCTTATATTGAGTGTTACCAACAAACCTTAAGTAAGGTGTTGTGGTTTGGTCCGCTGCAGCCCAGTAGAGACAACGTAGTTGTAAGTGTAACGCTGTAACGCGCGCACGTGTAAATACTCACTTAAAAATCGCGTAGTGAAGAAAATGTCTCATTAATCAGCTTCTATCCAAAAATATCATTAGTTAATTTATAATACATCGTACTATTTATCATAATTCTCCATATCACTCTTTTATTTATTTATATTAAGTCCTAGTTTGATCAGAAACGTACCATAAACTTGTTTGACTACTTAACGGTCTGTTGTTTGTATAATAAATTTATGGATTATTTTTAAAACTTTTTATCCTCTGGATGGTTTTGAATGTGCTGACCTGGTCTGTGGGTTTGTAAAGAGACAAAACTTTTGGGTACGAATTCAGCATTTGGATTACATTTTGACGACCTACATCTAAGACCTCGAAATAAGTATTAATGTGTGTCGTGATTACGAGTGACGAAACGTTCTGAAACGAAACTGTGTAAATAATGTACACTAAACACAAAAGTAAATGTATTTCTTTTAGAAAAAAAAATCTTATTTATTTTCCTACTAAACTCTTCACACCGCACAATCAGATAGTAGCCGTTCAAAAACAGACGGATTTAATGACCGCCGAAGTTTCTCTCGGGAGCGGTAAATTTTCATTCATTTTGGGCCTGACTGCAGGCTCCCTCATGAGCGCCCCAGGAGTATCAAACAAACAGGGCTATTTTCGGCAACACGCCTCTGCGCCGCACTGCTGCATGTCCAGGGCGCGAGAGAGGAGAGAGAAAGAGAGAGCGAAGGAGAGAGGGAGAAAGGGGATCACACGACGGAAGGGGCGAACCAGCCGTGGAGGCACTTGGGCACCTGCGAGGGCGTGGTGAACTCGGCGCGACCCAGCTCCAGCATGGTGGTGGCGTCCACCGCCAGCATGCCGGCCCGCTGGTCCTCGTCGCCCCACACCAGCGCGCACAGCAGCACCCCGTCGTCCTCGTCCTGCCGAGTTCAAGTTCAAGTTAGGGGTCGCAGGCCGCAGCCCGCAGAGGCAATGACATCTCAGAATATTCGAGACGACTGACCTGCGCGTCGGGACGAGCGACGAAAATGGGCTCGCTGGGGTAGACGCCCGGCTCGCCCCACGTGGAGCAGCCCCCCGTCCACGTGTCCACCTTGATGAGCTGCGGAACACCAGACACACTACGCGTTAGTCGCAGATCGGTGGCTAGCCAGCTTCCCAGTCCGTCGTCCGCCCTCCGCGCCCTCACCGTGCCGGGGTTGTCCGCGTCCACGTCGGCCGAGATGGCGTAGAAGTAGCGGTAGGGCCTGGACACGTGCCGCGGGTTGAGGCGCGGCGTCTCGCAGCCCAGGTCGCACAACGCCCTCGGGTGGACGCGAACCCCGGACTCGTCGAGCGGCAGCACGAAGCGCAGCGGCCGGCCGCGGAACAGGCGCGCGTAGTCGGGGTTCCGCTGCGCGTCCTGCAAACGGCAAATATTTGAAAACGCGGCAAGCGTTAGGGGAACGGCGGGACTCGAACCCAACCCCAGCTCGCCCACCTCCAGCGCGTCGATGTACATGCAGCTGATCATGGCTGGGTCCTTGTAGCAGCAGATGTCCACGACGACCTCCCCCGGCTCGGCAACGGGGCTGTCCTCCGCGGCCAGGGACGGCCGCTCGAAGCAGTTGATGACGTGCAGGAAGAAGAAGGCCTCGGCCTCGAACACGTGCGTGCGCCGCCCCGTGCTGCGGCTCACCAGGTGGATCAGGGTCTGCGGCAGAGTCGTCTAGGCCCTTCAGTGACCTAGGGGTGGGTGGCGTGGGCACCACGAGAAGCTGTTCAAACCCACCGGGTGCTCGGCGAACCACCGGAGGCTGGCGGCCAGCGGCTCGCCGCTCAGCTGCCCCCGCACCATGGCGGGCACGGACACGGACAGGGGCTGCTCCACGAGCACGAAGTGCGAGGCCGTGGCGCCGAACGAGTGCATGTAGCCGGGGTGCAGCGGCCACCGCGCCGGGACGCCGCCCTCCAGCCTGCCGGCCTCCACCGCGGCCAGCGCCTCGCCGCCTGAGGACAAGGGGAAGCTTCAAGTCAGGGAGCGCCGGGAGGGTAGGCAGCCCAACCGGCGGCCGGGCGGTGCGCGCTGCGCGCCGCGTGCCGCCAAGCGCTGTCTGGACAGTTTAGAGTCCGCGCTGCGGTGGTGCACTCACCGGGCTGGGGCGCAGGGAAGTGGATGAGCGTGTACTGGGGGCCCGTGGCCGACAGGGACATGCCCAGGTTGACCACGGAGCCGTCGTCCTGCACCAGCGGGTGGGAGGTGTGGTTCACGATGCCCAGCGAGCTGGCCACGTTGACCCGGTCTAGCGTCTGCAGGCTGACGGGGTCCACTCTGGTCATGACGGGGCTCTCCGTGAAGGCGTAGAACTCGTCGCCCACGGGGTAGACCGAGATCATGGCGTTGTCCGACATCACCTCCCCGGGCCGGAACATGGCGGCCACCCTAACGGGGAACTCACTCGATTACAAACCGTGCGGCATCAAACATTACTACCCCGAAACCAAGGTCTGATGAAGGAAGCGCCCTCGTTGCTAAGACGCAAAATGACGCACCTTTTGAAGATGGTCTGGCAAGGGTCCGGGGCGGCCCGCGTCCCGAACTCAGTCACCACGATGCGCTTGGCCGCGGCGTTGCGGCGCCAGGTCTGCGAGCGCAGGAAGCGGCACTGGTAGGTCACGTCGCCGTCGGCGATGCAGAACCTAGGCGGCAAAAACGGCGCTCTCAAAACAATTGCCAAAGAAATATAGTGATAGGGACTTGTCGTTGGCCTGGCCAGCACCTTTGCAGCAGCGCCGCGCCGTCGAACAGGTGCTGGAACCTGTCCTTCCCGCACTCCAGGCTCCCTGGGCCGTTCCGCAGCAGCGTGCCTCGCACCCAGCGCGGAATCTCTCCTGGAAGAGCGAGGCAAGTCCTTCAAAAATGGCCAAGTATCGTGACGTTTGAAGGCCCGGCAGCGTGAACTTCCCACCGGCCGGGCGCGTGGCCCTCCCCCTCCCTCCCCGACCCTCGAAACGTCAACATTTACCTTTGACAAACAAGTGCCGGCGACAAGCTACTGCTTACCTGTAACCCTCCCTCTGAGTGGCTTGCACACCTCTTCTTTGCAGGACCGCAGCCATATGTGCACGTGGCAGTTGGGGTAGAGGTCCTCCCCCGCGGACAGCCTGCGCGCCACCTCGGGGTCCACGGCGCGGCCCGCGGCCTGCTCCGCCGCCTCGTACGCATGCCGCCTCGCCGCGTCCTCCACTGCAGGCCAACAACGCCGAGATCACCGGGGACGCTCCATTCAGACAATCTGCTTATCGCTGACACCGGCGGGGCCGATCCAAGTGGTGTCTAAGGCCCGAAACCCGGAAAACGCAGTACATAAAACGCCCCCAGCCTTTATTGATGTCGACGACGAGGCTATCAACGAATCGATGACAGTGTGTAGTTCTGGTTCCTACCTGGCAGCGAGATGGACCTGACAGCCCGCGCTCCCCGTTTGCTGGGCCTGCAGCCCATGCTGGCCTCCTCGATCGAGGCCCTGACCGTCCTGACCGACACGAAGCACGCGCGGCCTCCGACTGAGTTTGCTCCCGCAGATCGGACTGGACGTGAGAGAGACTGTGCGGGCGTCGCTGGCGTGTCAAAGGAACGAAGTGGCAATAAAGGACTGGGTGGCCGGCGGCACACTGCGCGGCAGGACAGGGCGCGACCCGGGATTGCGTAGGTGGGTAAGTGGATAAGTATAGGGCAGACTGCAGGCCGAGTAGTGCACGCCGCAGCAGTCGGCGGACATGGCGACTTGCCGGCCACTTGCCGATAACGTGTTACCGCACTGTACCGTGGGAATGGCCGGCTGGAAGGGGGAAGCTTCTTGCCCTTCTTGAGCACCGCGCGTGGCAGGTGGGAGGCGCGTGGCGCGTGTCCGATACTGCCCCGACTTTCTTGCGCGGAGCGAGGCGATTTGAGGGGGAGGGGGAGCGTCTTGGGCGTCTTGACACTGACCTTGGCCGCGAGCGTCCTTCTCAGCGCTCCGCACCACTCCCCGCCACCGTCCGCCACACACGTCGGCGTCGTCGGCATGGCCGTGAGGGTCCGCATCCTCTTCGCGGCACTGGGGGGCCACCGCGACGACGGCCAGCGGCACCGCGATGGTGGGGGCCACGCCGACGCAGCCGACGCTGGTGTCGTCCGGGGAAATGCGTCCCGAGGGCGAGGCGTAGCCGTCGGGGGTGAGGGCGCGGCTCTGGGGAGACACTGGATCAGTTGCACGACGAGGAGTCCGTCAACTCGGAAGGCTCGCCCTCGCCGCCTACCTTGAGCACGTACTCGATGGGGGACATCCGGCCCGTGGGGTCGCCGTGCTCGCCGTGCGCTCTGCCGCGGAGTTTCCGGCTGGTGTGCACTCCGGGGACGACCAGGGTTGCGCCTGGGCCGCAGGTCTTCTCACTGCTGTGGTGGGGACTCGTTCGGGAGGCGGTGTCGGTCGCGCCCAGGCGCCCTTGGCCGAGCGCCGCGGCGCCGGCGTGGCTCCAAGACCCTCCAGCGCGGCTTCGGCGGATCCAGGCGGCGCGACGTTCGGCCCCCGCGCTGGACGTGCTGGCCCGCCGTCGGCCTGCCACCGCCACGGCGGCGGGGGCCGGCGGCGGCGCCATCGCCACCTCGCTCATCCTGGACGCCCTGGACGGCGGCGGTCGCGCATTCCTCGACGGGATCCTGGTCTGTCGCCGCGACGCCAGTTCGCTCCGCGGCCTGTTGGTCTGTTCGACGTGGCCAGGGCTGAGGCCGCGACTGTCCCGCCGCCCCGCCGAGCCGTGCTGCCGTACAGGTTGGGGGTGACCCTGGGACAGCGCGGGGCGGCGGCGCGGCGGGGCGGGACGGACGCCCGGCCAAGGGCTGCATGAGGGGATGGATGACGCAAACGGGGTGCGCCTAGAGTGCGGCAGGCGGCAGGCCACTCGGGCCGCGGCCGCCGTGGCATGGGACGGGGCACAGCCGTGGGGGGAGGCGGCTCGGCGGCCCGGCTGGCCGAACATCGCGATGGTGGCCGCGGTGGTGTCGCGGATGTCGTCATGTCGTCATCGCGCGGCCCCCTGCTTTGCCCGCCCCGCCTCGGGGTAATCGAATAACGTCGGCAAAATCTTGTTCGCTGTTCGATTCCCTGAGAGCCGCTGTCTGACTCTCGATCCCCTGCAGACGTCGCACCCACGGCACAGGACTCTGATGCAGTTCAAGATTTCAGAGTGTAGCACTCGAGGTTGCAGGATGATCCGCACCGTGGCCCCCTCTGCCCGAGGACGGCCGGCGGCCGCCGGGCGGGTGCCCCGTCGGCCCGGCGGTGCGCGCTCATAGGCAGGGAAGCCCGTCAGAGGCAGAGGCACTAGTGACCTCGTGCAGTCGAGTCGGACGCTCTGTCTCTCTCTGGTTCCTGGTTCTCCTTCCGACCGGCCTGGTCAAGCTCGGTCCCGCTCGGTCCTCCCCGGCGCTGTGGACTCGCACGTGCGAGGCCAGCCATGGCGCCAGCAGCGCCGTGTGCAGCACCACGCCGACGAGGGCACGTTCCTCACTGGGCCGGACGACCACCCCAACAGCGATGTCTTGCCGTCCACGGGCGAGTTGCGGGTGTGAATACCCCTTGCCGCTCACTCGGAGAGACTCGGAGAGACTCCCCGCGCGCGGAATGGCGCGCCGCGCCGCTGGAAGGCAGCGCCGCGAGGCAGGGCAGGGCTGCCGTGGCGCGGCGAGGCGCGGCGTCGCCCACCCGCACGCCGGCGTACAGTAGCACGGCCAGCACGGCCAGGGCGGCGGACTTGACCCGCACCCGACACCTCATTCGAAAGCATCTGTCTCTCTCCCACTCACAGGGCGATCCCGAGGGGTGCGAGAGAGACAGAGTGACAAAATGATCCCTCGGCGACGTGCCAAAGGGCACGCCGAGGACGCCGAGGAGAGCCTCCCAAAGGTCAGTCCTTCAGTCCACCGGACAGCGGTGTGAAACAGCAATTGGCGGTGATTTTCTAAGACACGTTGCTGGTGCATTGACCCCCGCGGTGGCGCGCCGCGTGACGGGCGCGCGGTGACGGTCACGTGACCCGTGTCACGTGGCGCGTGACGACCAATAAAGGGATAGACTCTGAGCCGCGATAACTCGCAGGGCAGGGTCGCATCGATTCGTGGGGCCCAGGGTGGCGACAACATAATGAACAGAAATGACACCCCCCACCGCCACCACACACTGTCACTGGGCTGTCCCCGCCATCAAGGTGTCCATTACTGCAGCGCACCCTATCAGCCTCAGGTTGATCCATGGGTTGATCCGGTGTCGGGTGGCCGAGTGAGCTGCATTCGCCGAGCGGCACGAGGTAAACAATGAAGTGCAATGATCCCCCGCCGAGCCTTGCAGGCCGCGCGCACCGCGCACCAGGGTCCGGGGTCGCCGAGGGAATTCCGAGGCGAAGCGCGGCAACGCTGCGTGCGTACCGATTCCTGCAGTGCCCTGGCAGTGCCCTGGCAGTGCCCCTGGAAAGGGACCGGGACCGAGTGAGAGGGAGCGAGAGGGCGAGGGACGGGGCGACGTCTAGCCAGCCGGGGCCGTGGCGGGGCGGCGGGCGAGCGGAGAGCCGAGCCGGGTCCTTGGAGGCGCGGCGGCGCGGCGGCGCGGGGGAGAAGGGGCCATCTCCCTCCATCTCCCTCCAGCCAGCGCCGCGCTGCGTCGCGCCGCCGTGGAGGCCGCCCTCCCATTGGCCGCGCACAACAAGTGAGTGAGAGAGAGCGAGCGCGGTGCGCGCGGTGCGCGCGGTGCGGGGCGTTGGGGCTTAGCGGGCGAGCCCCTCTCCAGTCGTGGCGGCGCTCTCTGGTCTTCCACTGCCTTCCGGCGCGCCGCGCACCGCAGCTCGGCGTCCGCACCAACGGCCCCGGTTCGAATACCGGCTGCGGCCGCGTTTTGCTCCACTTCACCGAGTTTCGTCAAACGCACCGTCAGTGGCGTCCCGGGTGTACAGTGCGGCGCAGTGTGCGAGTGAGAAAGTGTGTGTGTTCAGCCGGTGTGAACGAGCGAGGTGCTAACTAACACGCTCGACTGCCTCTCCGTTGGATTGCTTTGGATTACTCACCTGCCTGTACCGGACTGCGAATACAGGTGAGTGCAGCGCATCGCATCCGCGCGGCGCGGCCTGTACGGCGCGGCCCGCACGGGATGGCGTACAGGCCGCTGCAAAAATAGCAGTTGCAAAAAGTAGAAGGCGTCGCCAAACGATACGGTACGCCGATACGTCATGTACAATACGCGCGTTGCATCCGGTTGACTCTAAGATGACGTCACTCGAATCGAACGGATAGCAAGGAAAGACTGTCGTGCACAAAGAAAGTCGTGCTTTGCGGCTGTTGTTAGTATGAGGGCTGCGGTCGAACCATGCCACGGGGGCTGTTTGTAAGTGCAAAGTCAACCACGGACGTCAGGGCTGTCAGTCTCGCCAGACCAACTTCCTCAAGTGTACGCCCACCGCGCGGCGAGGGCGAACTTGGAACGCGTCAAAGGCTGGCTGTCAGTGTCAAAAGAGTCCCTCCTTGTAGTGGCCGGCGAGCTGGCGGTGCCGCCGGCCGGCGTGCCGGCGTGGCCTAGCAAGCCCAAGCAAGCCTGGCCTTGGGCGCGACCATGAACTTCTTTCTTCCAGCCGGCCGGCTTGGCGGGGCGGCGGGGCCGGCGGCGGGGCTAGCGGGGCCCGCATCAGGATGAAGCCGGTCATCATCTCCTCGGAACGCAGCTCGGAACGCGGACGGACAGACTGTTTTATCCACGATCCCTCTCTCTCTCCCGCCGCGGGCCCCGCCCAGATGAATGAGTTGCCTATCTCCAAGGCGCCGCCCAGCCAGCCGCCCCGTTCACCCGGGAACCCCCACCGTTTCCTTTGCAGTGTATGTGTTCCCCCCACTCTAGAACGAGTCGGGAGAGTGCATGTTGCTGGCGAGGGCCTGGCCGGCCGCTGCAAGGGCTGGGTTGCGTCCGTCGTCGCCTTGGTCTTGGTGTCGTTCCGAGAGCCGCGGCTGTGCAGCGCGGTTTGCTTGTTGTTATGGCTGGGCATAAACGGACGCGTGGGGCTCTGGTCTTCGTAGTGTAGGCCCCTGGTGCCGGGCCATGAACTGCGGCGCGGCGTTGCCGGTTCGACCGCGCCATTCAGGTTGAACTTGAACGGAAACGTGGCGGGCGATGGCCATGCCGGTGGCCGATGACGCCATCGCGGTGCGCGCGGTGCGGGGGCGAGCCGGCTCGGGGCGTGTGGAGCGGAGCGGAGGCACGGGGCGCCCTTCGCGAGCTTGGCTGGCATTCTAATGAGGACGTAGCTTAGCGCATCGCCACGCCAGCCCCGCGAGCACAAAGGAACTCCGGCGGACGTGCGTGGGATTCTACGATTCTATCCGCCACTCGCCACTGTACACTGTGTACAGTGATCGCTGTTTTTGTGTCCAGGCGTAAGGAATCCGTCGTTGGGTCCTGAAAGGATTTACTCACTCATTGTTGCACGCCCAGAGGCTGCTGCTCAGACCGGGGGCCAGGACGAGACTGGATCGAGAGCGCCTTCGCGTGCCTTTTATAAGATGACACACACACACGCACACACGCACAATGCTTACAATGCACAATCGGTAGCCGTCGTCCCGATTACCCCCGCGCCCGATTGCGCATCTTCGATCGTACCGACTCGTCGATCTGCGCTTTGGGTACGAGTGATGCCCTATCGGGCTCCCCTGTGTGGTTATCAAGTAGAAATTTATTGCAGCCACAATGAATTTTCAAGATCATGCGGACTGAGACCGGCAGCTGTGCGTCGTCGTAAATTTCGCCCACTTACACTGATCGCGAGGCTTACGGTGGCCAAGCCGGCCAAACTGTGGACACGTGACACACGTGAGCCATTGTACCACACGCAGCATGGCGGGCCACGCCGGGCCACGCCCATGCTGGCCACGAGGGACCTGTCCTGTCGGCCGCTAATGAGAAAGTCGGCATTTTACAGTGGTCCCGGCACGGCACGCGCCCCGCGGGTTCAGCAGGTTCAAACGCCGCGAGTACGCTGCCGGTGGCGTGCGCGGCGAGCGCGGCGAGCGACCTGCCGGCGGCCCTGGCCCCGCCCGCACGCCGCACGGCCCCAAGTGGGTGAGGGTGAGATGCTTATCGGATCCAAGGCTCAACTGCCCCCTTTTACTGGCGTATCAAGCGTACACCTCGCCGGCTGGGGCCCCCAAGGGGGCTCGCCGAAGGGTGGTGGGGCGACGCCGGTCTAGACGGCACGCGACGTGCAGGCGGCGTAGTGCAGCCTGCAGCGGGAACGCGCGGCGGGTGAACGACCTCCAGGGGAGCGCGGTGGTGGAAAGCAAAACAGCGCGGACGGCGGATGGGCCGGGCCGGTTGGGCTCCACACCTCCACGGCGCAGCCTGGCGCCGCTGGCCGCGCCGCGCGGTGTAGGCAACCCATCCGGCAGGCCGACAGGGTCATAATGCGCGCCGCTGGTGATTTGTTGCCAGTGGCGTGGCGAGGCGAGGCCAGGGCGCCGGGCCGCGCGCCGTGCGTGTCCCGCGCGTTGAAAGGGTGCGAGGCCGGTCGCCAAAACCCAAACCACTGCCGCCGCGCCGCCGCGCCGCCGCGCCCCCTATGATCGATCAGCCGGCTCGCCTCGCGGCCCGTGACAGCCGACGTCGTTTTGTGGCCAAACTGGCGTGAATATTTCAGCAGACAGACACGCGCTGTTGTTGCCCCGCCACGCCAAACACTCATATCTGCGGAGCACATCGCGAGCCTCGTCGCGAGGCTAGAGCGGGGGGGGGGGGGGGGGGGCTGCTGAAAAGCCTGTCGGGGGCGCGAGCGAAATCGCGTGCTCTACCTGTCGTTCCCGACCTGGCCGACCTGACCCAGTCCGGCGGTTTGGCGGCCGCGACACACATCCGCCAAGGACTGGCGGTCCGTGGCGAGGCGAGGCGGCGAGGGCGCGCAACTGGTCACTGTCGGCGGGCACAGCCGGCACGGCCATGGACGCGCAATTAAGGCCGGCGACGTGTCTCGATTACCCGGAGCACGCGCAGCACGCGCAGCACGCGCAGCTTGGAGGCGCCGCGGACGTCGCTTCGTCCCGTCGTCGCGCCACGCCCTCGCGGCCCCCGCGCCCCCCGCGGCCCCCGCGGCCACGTCGGACGCTTCCGGCTCTTTGGCCGCGGGCCGTCTTGTCATTGCCGCCAGGACCATGACAGCTTTTGTTCTGGCGGACGGTGGCCGCTGGCGCCCCTTTCGCAGCCTAATTCGTTCTGGGAACGCGGCCGACGTGGCTGGCACACTGGCACGCCGATTCCGAGCAGTGCTTTCGTCGGCGCGTCCTCTCCCTCGCACTCCTGCCGGACGCCCCATGAGTGCTGCAGAGACAGAGCGACGGAAGCGCTGTTCGGAAGCACGGAGGTCCGAGGTCCCGGAAGCCCTGGGACTGCCTTGCGGCGCCTTGCGGCGCCTTGTGGCTCCCCGGGGACGCGGCCCGGCCCGCCCAGCCCACCTTGGGCGCGGCCTGCATCGCCTGCGGGCCCCGCGGGGGAACGGCCCCGCAAAGCGCAAAGCACCGCGCGTGGACAAACGTAGATTAAACTTTTGTTGGTGGACGGCTTCCCAGTGGACGCTTCATTACATTCATGGGTAGATTTGGGGACTGCCCCGAGGACGGCTTGTTATTGTCTGAATCGTCCTCACTTCGAGCCACAGGTCTTGGTTTTAATTTTACGGTCGACACGAATCACCTGGCCGTCGGCTGCGAACGCTTCTATCTTCGACGTGCAGTTCGACCTACGGCACGCCGCGCCACGCCTGCCCGCGGTGCTCAAGGACGCATCGGACGCATTCGCGCGCGCGGAGAGCGGACCAAACCCAACCTGGCGCCCGGCGGCGCGCGGCCCTGCCCGGACAAAGCGACGTTCCCGGCCAGGACGGCGCAGGATAGCAGGATGATGCCAACCGCGGTCGGGTTGCATCAGGTAGCTCAATGGCGGGGGTGGCAGCGGTGCTGCAGACCCATCGTCACTCCGTCTCCCTCGCACTCATGGGGAGTCCCGTGGGTGCGAGAGAGATAGATGCCTGGAACGCCCGTGACTAGTGGGGCGCTGCCACCGCCGAACTCGCGAGTGTAGAGTGTATACACAAAGCAGCCGGTTGACTAATGCGCTGACGCGGTGGCAATAACCACCATTTCTGCACGGCGGGGTGGAACAGCCAATCGGCGTCGCTTCCCAAACACCCCATCCCACTCCCCACCACCGGCCCCTTCCCTTCGGCCTTTTACCACACACCTTCATTCCCCTTCACGATCAATACTAATGAGGATAAAACAACAAAGAACTTTGGTGCGTTTTAATGATCTACACTGTGCTTTGGAAAAACGGTTTGTCCGGCGGTGGCGGACTCGTTCGGAAAGTCTGCGTACGTCATCGGTTCTCCCGGCAGGCGATTCCGCGGGACGCGACGCGCCCTTTTTGTGGGTTTTTTGTCTCTCGGCCGGGCAGCTGGAGCTCCAGATCGGTGCGCTGGAGTGGTCCGGTCCAAAATAGTCCCGGATTCGGCCCTTCGGCTATTAAACCCTCTAACGGCGAAGCGGGCGAAGGGACGGCGGGGCCAGGGCCAGGGCCAGGCCCTCTGCAAGCCAATGGCCTAATGTCCACCAAGCGGCCAGTTTGTTGACATGCACGAAGAGCGAGGACCTCTGAAGGTCGAAATGTTTTCCGCCAAGGACGATGAGGTCCTCCCCGTGGATCGCACACCTAAGTCCAGGACCAACCATAACATGAGCCACCTCCCCCCTCCTCGGCCTCCTCGTCCCCCTCTCCGGCGTGGTCCAGGGTCCAGGGGCCTCCCTCCGCACGCCAGGACGCCAGGACGCCAGTGTCGACGGGGACCTGGACAGGACCGGGCTGGACCGCGCCACCGGACTGAGCCTCAGCGTGCAGCACACTGCGGAGGGAGGGCCGAAGGTAGTCCAGCTGGCCAGTCTTGGGCGGTTTGTCGCTCTGTCTCACTCGCACCCTAGCCGAGTGCCCCGCGAGTGCGACAGAGACAGAGCGACGAAACGGCTCGTGGATCGCCGGGCGCGACAAGGCAGCAGGCGCTGCACTGCATCCGTGAAGACGCCGCCACGCCGCCACGCCCCTGCCGAGCCTCCAACGCGCCCTGCCCCATCGAGCCTCCATGGAAGGGAACGACGCGTGTGAAACTAGTGCGAACCTTAATCTCAATCTGTGGCTGCGTGTTGTTGTTCAAAAGCCGCGTTGCTTTTATTTTCGGACTCCCCCTCTGCCGTGGTAGTGCCCCTAATCTGACTCGTGTCATATCGAATCACAACGCTCCGCTCGCTTCGCTGCAACCCCCCGCCCCTGCCCGCCCCTGCCGGCCCCTGCCTCTGCCCTGTCGTGTCCCCCGGTCACGGGACGCCGCTCACATAACGCGTGTTCGGCGTATCGAGTTTCGCCAACCTCCCACACTGTCGTGTCTTTTAACTTGACCTGGACGTTGACGAATTTGCACTCATGCCTGCAACATTCGCTAAACACGTCCTGCCACAGCGCGCGAGTGAGAGGTGGGGCTGGTTACGCCGAGATCATTTGCCAAGTGGCGTGCGAATTTGTCAGTCGTCAGACACTGACTCACGCACCGGGGGTATTTTCCGCCTGCCGACCGGCTGCGTCCGAACAGTTGCTTTCGACGCTCTGTCTCTCCCGCACCTATGGGCGCGAGAGAGACAGAGACCAGAAGATCTTTTAGGAATCCTCCTGCCGGGTCCGTGCCCTGGAGCGCGCCCCTGCACATGGCGGCAGGCGGCACACGGTGCCTGCAGGCTCGGACTGGCCAGGGCAGACAGGCAGAAAAATCTGCCGGGGCCTTTGGATTTGTGACCAGTAACGTCACGAAGTTGGTCAAAAAGTGATTGAATCTCCGAAAGTAGCCGTTTTCGCTGAATTTGAGCGGCCACTGCTTCGATCTAGTAGCGGCCAACGGCCTCCCTCGACGTCCTAGTATTCTTAAGACCCTACTCTTTCATGCCCTGAATCGGGAAGACGTTGACCACAACGGTTTTGCCTTTGACCGCAACGATTTAGGGACCAAAGTTGGTCAAAAAGTGGTCAAATCTCGGAAATTTGCTGATTTTGCTGACTTTGGGCGGCCACTGTGTCCAATGTAGTTGCCGTAAAAGGCCTCCCTCAACGTCCTAGTATTCTCAAGACCCTACTCTTTCATGCCCTGTATAGGGAAGACGTTGACCACAACGATTTTGCCTTTGACCGCAACGATTTAGGGACCAAAGTTGGTCAAAAAGTGGTCGAATCTCGGAAATTTGCTGATTTTGCTGACTTTGGGCGGCCACTGTGTCCAATCTAGTTGCCGTAAAAGGCCTCCCTCAACGTCCTAGTATTCTCAAGACCCTACTCTTTCATGCCCTGTATAGGGAAGACGTTGACCACAACGATTTTGCCTTTGACCGCAACGATTTAGGGACCAAAGTTGGTCAAAAAGTGGTCGAATCTCGGAAATTTGCTGATTTTGCTGACTTTGGGCGGCCACTGTGTCCAATCTAGTTGCCGTAAAAGGCCTCCCTCAACGTCCTAGTATTCTCAAGACCCTACTCTTTCATGCCCTGTATAGGGAAGACGTTGACCACAACGATTTTGCCTTTGACCGCAACGATTTTGGGACCAAAGTTGGTCAAAAAGTGGTCGAATCTCGGAAATTTGCTGATTTTGCTGACTTTGGACGGTCACTGTGTCCAATCTAGTTGCCGTAAAAGGCCTCCCTCAACGTCCTAGTATTCTCAAGACCCTACTCTTTCATGCCCTGTATAGGGAAGACGTTGACCACAACGATTTTGCCTTTGACCGCAATGATTTTCCGACCAAGTTGGTCAAAAAGTAGTCGAATCTCGGAAATTTGCTGATTTTGCTGACTTTGGACGGCCACTGTGTCCAATCTAGTTGCCGTAAAAGGCCTCCCTCGACGCCCTAGAATTCTTAAGACCCTAGTCTTTCATGTCCTGTACGGGAAGGCTATTGACCGCAACTTGTGTGGGAGCGGCAGCCTCACAAAGTTGGTCATGAAGGGTAAAAACAATGATGATCGGGGGCCTTTTGCGGGTTTATCTGCCGGGGCCTTTTGGGCGCCAGTCCGAGCCTGGGTGCCTGGCCCGCGGCAAAGAGCGACGCGACGGGAACCGCCTGCGGAGTCCAGGGTAGGCCAGCCCGTCAAGCAAGCCTGCTCCCCGGCGCGGCCTATCCCTGGCTTGTAAGGCTGCAGGCTGCCTTGCGACGGACTCACAAATTTTCGCTTCGGCAAACTCAAATTGGCAATCGCGTTCGGAACTTTTACTGTCTCTCCTTCGCGGTAGCCTGGTTTTACTAGAAAAAAGAAAACAAACGAAAATACAGACTGCTGTTAGGTTTTCTGTTCGCCGCGTCGTCGGTCGGTAATTGCAAACCGAGTGCGGATTCTTCTCGATTTACTGCGACACTTATTGAAGCGCCACTCTGCAGCGGTCCGGCCGTGCCGCCGGACGAGTGGCCCGGCGATACTCTTGTCAATACGGGTGTAGAATTGAAATTTTGCGCCGAATTGGTCGTTTCCGGCTTCCGGCGCAACGCGACTCGGCCGAACGCGATGGCGGCACCTGGCATGCGGTGCGGTTTCATCTCGCCGTCGTCGCCCCTTTCCTCCTTTCCTCGGCCGCGGAGCCTCGCCGCGGAGAGCGCCGCGCCTCCACTATAAATGCCGGCATTCTCGTTATCGCGCCACTTGTTGTCCTGCCGGCCTGCCGCGGTGAGGCAACGCGCAACGCAGCGACAGCGCAGCGACGCGGCTGTCTCGTTGGGCTTCCCGCGTCTCGTCTCGTCTCGCCTCGCCGCGTCAACAGCGCGTCCGCCGGCCGGGCGCGCGCCGCGTCGTCTGGTCGTTCCCTCCCCTCCGCGGATTTCTCGGCGGGGCTCGGCAAGGGCGTGCATCGGCTGCAACTCGGCTCGCACCTCCAGCAGCGGCACGGACTCCAGGACCAGCTCCAGCGAGGTCACCACAAATGAGTGGCCGCCCTCTCGGGACGCAGCCGCGCTGAAGACCACCGTCGAAGGACCTCCCCCAGGATGGTGCCGCCGCCGCGCGCCCCGCTGACGCGGTCCTCGGCGCGCTCCGCGGTCAGCCAGTCGCTGGCGGCGTCCGCGGTGTTCCTCATCAACATCACCACCGGCATGGGCTTGGGCTGGTCGTCGCCGGCCTGGAGTAAGATGACGGAGGCCGACCCGCTCGGGCCCGGCTTCACCTTGGACCTGGACGCGGCGTCGTGGGTCGTGGCCATCTACGACGTGGGCATCCCGGTGGGGTCTGTGTTGGCGGGCGCGCTGCTGGGCTCGCTGGGCCGACGACGCACGCTCATGCTGGCGCCCATCATGGTGCTGTCCTCCAGCGCCCTCACCTTCGCGGCCAGGTCGTCGGCGGCCCTCAACGCGGCGCGCGTCCTGCTGGGCGTCAGCTTCGGCCTGGACTTGTCCTGCTCCAGCCTCTACATCGGGGAGATCGCGAGCAGCGACATGCGCGGCAAGCTGTGCACCTTCACGACGTCGCTGGTGTTCGTCGGCGTGCTGCTGGAGTACGCCATCGGGCCCTGGGTGTCGTTCGCGCAGCAGGCGCTGCTGCCGGTGGCGCCCGCCGTCATGAGCCTGGCCGTGTTCGCGCTCTGGGCCCCGGAGAGCCCCTACTTCCTGGCGTCGCGCGGCCGCGGCGAGGAGATGCGCCGCGCGCTGGCCAGGGTGCGCGGCCTGTCCAACAAGGACGCCGTCAACGGGCTGGCGCAGCAGCGCGCCGGCGTGGACGTCGAGGCCGCCGACATCCTCCGCGGCATGGAGGCCGACCGCCGCCGCGAGCGCAACTTGTGGCGCACTCTGGTGACCAACCCCGGCAACCGCCGCGGCTGCATCATCGTGCTGTTCTTGTGCGGCACCGGGCCCATGATCGGCACCGGCAGCCTGCTGTCCTACGCGCAGTACCTGTTCCGCACCACGGGCAGCGCGCTGTCCGCGGAGATGTCCGCCATCGTGATGTGCGCCGTGCAGTGCGCGGCGGGCGTGGCCTCGTCCCAGGTGGGTCGACGACCTTACTTCCTTTGGCTTTCGCTTCCCTCTGCAACAATCAGCGATAAATAATTTGTCCTCTTGCTCCACTTCTGCAGGTGATCGACCGCGCGGGCCGCCGCCCCCTGCTGCTGTGCTCGGCGGTGTGCAACGCGGTGGCCATGGCGGCCGCGGGGGCCTTCTTCTTCATGAAGGACGCCCTGCACCAGGACGCCGCCGCGGCGCGCATCACCTGGCTGCCGCTCGCCTCCCTCATGGTCTTCATGGTCTCCACCAACCTGGGCACCACCACAGTTCCCTGGGTCATGATCGGCGAGCTGCTGCCGCAGCAGAGCAAGACGCTGGTGCCCAGCCTGTCCGTGCTGGCCTTCTCCGTGGTGGCCTTTGCCACCAACAAGCTGCTGCCCGTGCTCGGGGAGCGTGTGGGGCTCTTCGTGGCGTTCTGGGCCTTCGGGCTCTGGTCCCTGGTCGTGTTCGCCTTCACGTGGTTCCTGGTGCCCGAGACGCGCGGCAAGACGCTGCTGCAGGTGCAAGCGCTGCTGCTGGGCGGCGCCGGCGGCAAGGGCGGCCACCTCCAGGACGGCGACAAGGACGCCCTGCAGGGCCACGAAGAGCGCGCCGGGACACCCCGGCAGCAGGAGCGGTGGTGAACTGCAACTCCTATGTTTGTACATAGTGTAGGCCTCCTTGAAGACTGCAGCGCGTTGTGTTTGTTGATGTGCCATATGAAAACTCTCGTCCTTTGGTAAACGTCCAAAACATTGACACGTTTGTGCACAAATTTTGTGATGCTGTCCGTTTTGATTTGGAAACGTATTTATTGAGTTACGTTTAATGTTGTAGTATTATATGAATTCCAATTATGTAGACACCGATTGTTGTTGCTTTTCTCGATATACTGGTTCTGTCGATAGGGCTGTGATGTGACTGATTCTCTTTAAAAATATTTTTGTCTTTAATTTATTTTTTTATGTACAGTGCTTTTTTACACGTGTACCCAACGAATAAAATCGTCAGACAGTGGCAGAGGTTATCTCGCATGCATTTTTTTATTCGTGGTGTTTTCTTTTTGTTTAATGCTTCCAATCCTTTACCTATTTTCGCATTGACGTTTTACGAAATTTAATCCCGCTCGTCAAGTCCACAAACCGCCGGTGTGGTGGCGAGGCGACCCGAACCCGAGGCTGTTCTGGCCGTGACATAGCGGACCTGGTAACCCAGTCAGAATGACTTTGGCCTCGCAGAAGCTCGCCGGCAGCTAGCTTAGTCCCACGGCCCTGCGACCACATTTTTACTGGCCTTTTTTCAGACATAGATATCACCGGGGCCGCGTATCTCCACTAGAAAGGAATGAACCGAAACCGGGAACTGCTTTGTTAGCAGGCCAGCGGGGCCCGAAGCCTGATCTGGGGCGGGGCGGAGGGGCCCTGCTGTGCACTGGGTTGCCTGCCGCACCGGGGCTTAAAACGTGCCGTCAATCGGGCGTAACGGCGTAACGACGGGGCGTTGAGGCTCGCCTTGCAGCCTCGCCTTGCAGCCTCGCCTTGCAGCCTCGCAGCCTCAACATCTCACGGGTCAAATATCGGCGGGCCGGTCATCGCGGGCCCCGCGGCACTGCCGATAGATACCGCCGCCAGCACCGCCACCGAGGATCCGAGAATCGCGGTCTCGCATCGCTGAAGTCTGCAGTGCGGCGGCTGTTGTACAACCCTCGCGATATCTCGGGGCGAATAACTCGAGACGGCTCAATAGCCACATAATGTGTGCGAAGTGAGGCCGCTCTCATCTGATAACACCAGTCCACGCCTCTACCGCAACGTCTCGTCCTCGTCTCGAGTGCTCGGATTTACGATGATGATGAGTCGCACCTGACAATAAAGCACCCTGCTAAAAGTGCCGTTTTGTTTTTCTGTTCCTCAGGCCGTGACGCGCCGCCGCCATGGGGGCGTGCTGCAGCTCGGACGAGCGCGTCGAACCCACGCCCGGCTCTCCCGACTCCACGGAGGTAAGGGGTAGCACACTGCAAGCATGCTGCAAGCAGGTCTGCCCTGCCGCACTCAGAGGGAGACAGCGCCGCGCGCCCACGGAGCGAAGGGTAGACAACCCTTGCCACGCTGGTGCATCGACGGCCTTTGGGTTTGCCTACCCGAGCGTCCGCGGGCGCTCGCCCAAGGCAGGTCTCGCGCGGCGGTGGCGTCCGGAAACACGAAAATACCAAGACCGGAACTAGCACTCCTGCCAGGGCCTATTTTATCGGAGGGGGTGACTTCCCCGAGATATTCTGTAGCCGAATGGACCGGCCGTGGCGAGGTCGAGTGCGTAGGCAGGACGGTCGGCGCCGTGCGTACCGCCTATGTACATCGATTGGGTAGCCAAGGGCCTAGGGCGAGGGGGTTGAGGCTGGTTGAGTCTAGGGGAGACGAGGAGGGTTGGCGGGGCGGCCGGAGGGGGGCGGAGGGGGGCGGAGGGCGGGGGCTCAAGGTCGCCGCGCCGCCGCGCCGCCAGCCTCCGCCGCCAGTGTCCTCTGCTGGCGGAGTGAGAGAGACAGCAGCATTGCCATTTTCCTCCGCGTTCCGCCGCCCCTCCTCGCCGCGCTCCCCCCTCCTCGTGGCGGCGGCGCGGCGGCGGGGTCGGGGTGGCGGGGCGGGGGGTGCAAGCGCGTAGCGTCCGCGTCGGCAGAGTGCGTGTTGGGTTTGGGGTTGGGGCGCAAATGCCCGCGATCGTGACGCGTGACGCACGAGGCCCTTGGTCCTTTGTCATTGCAAGCAGCCGCAAAGATGGAGCAGGAGCTCCTTGATGCCACGGATGGCCGTGTAGGTTGACTCACCCCGCACCGCAGCCGCGGGCCCGGCTCCTTTGTTTACATACCGGCGTGTCTTGATGTCGTCCTCGTCTGTTCCAGCTGCAGGAAAGCGGCCGCAAGGGGAGTGCGTCCAAGTTCCACGGGCCCGTCAAGAAGCGGAGCTGCACCGATGTCATCTTCCTGATCCTCTTCGGTGCATTTGTCATTGTGCTGGTAAGCAGTTTGAAAGGATTCACAGAGCAGCATTCTTGCCTACGGGCCGCTGGGTGCTTAAGTCATTTTCTGCAACAGGTTGGTCTTCTTGGATACTGTGTTCATAACGGGGATCTCTATCGTATCATCAACGGATACGACAATTGTGGAAATGTCTGTGGAAGGACAAACAAACCCTCGACAAACAATGATCCTAAATTCAGCTGCCTTGGGGCCAACAAAACTAGTGATAAGTACGTTTGTGGTTTCTGCATTCAAGGATGATTGTTAGGCGAGCAGTCTGTCCAACACCTTTCATATTTTCTGCACACAGGTATCTGCTTATTTCTGCAGCAGGCCTTGCTGTAGTGAAACCAAAAGATGTCAAGAGAGAATGTGTCAGTAGCTGTACCAGATCTGGATAGTAAGTATAAACAACCACAGCTGTAATCATCCAGCGAATGCTAATCCTTATCAGTTAAGCTTACTCAAGCACTGTTCGTAAAATTTTATTTTCTCTTCACAGCCGGGCATTCCTTAATCGATGCATTCCAGAGACTAGTGATACTGTGGTGAACAGCTTTTTCTCCAAAACTGGATTAAAAGACTTCTTGGCGGTAAGCTGATTGCCTTGCTGTTCAAAATTATGTGACATGTATTGATTTAATTGTTTTTGGCTAATCACTTGTACTCAGGAAGTGTCAGAAGATCTGCATCTGTGCTGGCAAGAAATTTTGTATCTGTGCCTCATTGCCTTTGCCTTATCCATCGTCTTGCTGTTCCTCTTCCGCTTTGTGGTCGGATTTGTCGTTTGGATTGTCCTAATTGGAGTGGTTACAGTCAGCGTATGCGGTACTGTTTATTTATGGTGAGACTCTCTTAATTAATGCTGATATTTTAAATTATAGTCCAAGATCTGACACTGATCTGATCTGATTACTATGCTTTATTTTAGGGTACGCTACAAATTGGTTCGTGATGAGCTGAAATCCAAACCAGATTACAGTCAGTCCGAAATTGGGCAAAGGAAACATTATTCCCTGCTTGCCTATGCTATTGTAGCCACAATTGCTACTGTAAGATTCATCTACTTCAATTATTTTTATTCTGTATCTATCTGTAATAAAAGTTTTATTTATTTATTTTAAATTTTATCTGCAGGTTGTTATAATGCTTGTTGTTTTGGTGATGAGGAAACGGATCCAGCTGGTTGTTCAATTGTTCAGGGAGGCTGGAAAAGCTGTTGCAAGCATGCCAGTGCTTCTTCTACAGCCTGTTCTGGTGAGAACCATTTAAAAGAAATGTTGCTGCTCTTATGAAAAAAAATAATTATTTCACACTGAAAATCAATGAGAGAATATCTGTTGCAGACCTTTGCTTCTCTTGCTGTTGTTGTTGCACTCTGGTTGCACTTTTCACTCTGGATAGAAACTTCAGGATTTTTGACTCCCAGAGGCGAGGATAATTTGTATTACAAAAAAGACACTGTTATAAAGGTTTGTAGATCTCTCACCACTTTGAAATGAGTCATTGAGTATGTACAATAACAATGAATCATCCTTCTGCTCTAGGTCACTCGATGGTATAATCTGTTTGCTATGTTCTGGTTCACTCAATTCATTGTCAGTTGCCAGCACATGGTAATTGCAGGAGCTGTGACCACTTGGTTCTTCACAAGGTTTGTCCAGTGTCCTTTACTGACCTATGCTTTTGAGCAAGTTGCAATTTTTATTCTATTCTCCAATTTCTTTTTTTTTTCCAGGAACAAGGATCATTTAGATGCTCCAATTTCTACATCTTTTTACAACCTTGTTCGTTATCACTTGGGATCTGTTGCTTTTGGTTCACTCCTGATTGCCATGGTCCAGATGATAAGAACTGTGTTTGCATGGCTGCAAGAAAAATTGAAAGGATCTGAGAACGATTGTACCAAGTGCCTCTTTAAAACATGCCAATGTTGTCTCTATTGTTTTGAAAAAATTTTGAAGTATCTCACACGGAATGCGTTCATAGAAATTGGTAATAGCCTTTAGTCTTTTAAAACTTAGAGAAAGATTTATTGGATATTTTATCTGTGTTGTAACTTATTGTTCTGTCTTGTAGCCATGTATGGACATAACTTCTGCAGAGCTGGAGAGCAAGCCTTTAAGATGCTGTCAAGTAATGCTTTGAGAGTTATTGCAATTAACTCTGTCGGAGACTTTGTGTTGTGGCTTGGCAAAGCCCTCGTTGTAATTGCCACTGTACTCATTGGTGTAGAGATGCTACAGGTAGGAACAAAATTTCTGTGACGAAGAAAGAAACGCTATTTTCACCACAAAAATCTGTCTAACTCCTTTCTTTTTCATTCAGGCCAAGGAAGGTATTCAGCACATCTGGGTTCCCTTGGGTCTTGCTGGCCTTTTTGCATTCTTAGTCTCACATTGCTTCCTGACAGTCTATGAGGTAATATTGTCATCATTTCCTTCTAGTTATGAACTTCTTTCAAGTAAAATTTCTTACATTTTATTTTATTTTCCATTAGATGGTGATTGACACAATTTTCATGTGTTTCTGTGAAGATTGTGAGCAGAATGATGGCATGAGTAAACCCTACTACATGAGTAAGGATCTTATGGTAAGAAAGTTCCTTTTTTTGTCTTTGACGCTTGGTTCTGCTCTACATGTAAGACTATTAATTTCTGTCATTTTTTCTCATGCTTGTAGGAGTTTGTTGAAGACAGCAAAAAAGCTTTGTCTGTGGGTGATGCAAAACATGACAACTAAGACTGCCAACTACGTCCGCCTCTTCATTATTTTGTATTTGATTTGATTATCGGCTGACACTTCTCCAGCTTGAATATCATTTTCATTTTTGTTGACTGAACTAAATTTCATATATTCAAGTTCTCTGGACTAGATTGTTTTATCAAATACTGTGGGATTTGATATTCTTGTAGGTATTTAGGATTAATTTGTGTTCTATTCCATGCCTGTATTAATTTTTTTTTATTGATGTGGACATGCATACTTAAGTAATGCTATGAAGTTAGATCTGTTGGATCAAGCAGAAAAGACGAAGCTTTCATACCTTGCCTTGCACTTGACCAAAGTTGATGTTAATTTTAAAAACAGAAATTGTGTATCCACAATTAGACTTATGTATATGTAATACTATGCTGTAATGTTTTGTTTTCCTGACTAGAGTACATTTTTATATCTTTGGTTTTGCTACATACTGTACATGCTTTGCATAGAGACCTGAAGTTTCTCTCAAGGATTCTAGCTTTACATTATCTATTTTTGTGTACAGTCTGAAAATACAGCTGTCTTTATCTTTTGTAACTCTCAATTTCCTTTGTACATCCAATTCTCCGGTGTGGTTCAAATTGTCTCACCTAGTTGAAACAGTCAAGATTGGCCCCCATCTGAGCCATAACAACAAACCAAGTTTTCAACAATATAAAAAAACAATTTTTATTTAATTGACAAAGTCTAAATTAAAAAATAACAACAGATACACACTTTCCATTGAAAAATGGCAAAATAGCTGAAGGAAATGACAGTCAACAAACTCAAGAAAGTAATACAGTAATAAAACAAATCAATTTGTACCTTAGGTGATAAAAAAGCCATGATCAGCATGAATCAGATCCATTAAGACACTCAACCATGATTAAAATGCATAGTTCTAAAAAATGGAAAAATCATTCATCTCCAACAAATTGGACAAGTGATGCATTTTTACGAACATTTTGCCCAGGGTTATATAGTATCTTCTCGATCTCTCCATCCTTTGGAGCCTTGATGACATACTAAAAGGAACATGGAAGAGCACTTTTAGGGTGTGTTTCAGTGACTGATGAATAAATTAGCAGTATTTCCCTACTTACTTCCATTTTCATAGCAATAATGACCAGCAAAGGATCCCCTACTGCAACCTTGTCACCAATTTTGACAAATACTTTGTCCACTACACCGGGCATAGGAGAAATAGCAGCACCTTCCTTCACTCCACTTTCCTTTGATAGCTCATTCACAAACTTCGGGATTGGGATAGTGAATTGAAATTTTCCATTCTAAAAAGCAAATTACAAAGATAAAATCAAAGTATGAAATTCATTATTCACTGAGACACCAAAATAAAAATATTCAAAGACTCAAAGGAACTTACTTCTGTGAACAAATATATGTCCCTCTCAGCGATAACAACAATTGATTTGCTCATGTGCCCATTTACTGAAGAAGTTAGACTAAGTTTACCATTATTTTTTATGAGACACCCAGAAACAATATAATCATCTCCACCATTTACACTTATTTTGTAGTCCTGAGGTGAATTGTATTTTACTTCAGTTGCATATTCTGAAATCAAGAAAGTAGGGCGCATATTAAATTTTTTTTTTAATTTCCAACATAATTAGTAGAGTTTGCAAGTTCAGAGATATACAAACCTTGTCCACCAGCCAACAGCTTTATTTTTCTGCTCAATTTGTGATTGAGACGAAATCCAGAAAGACTGTCAGAAAAATCATTGTTTTGGACAGTACCGACAATAGCATCATTTAGTTCACAGAGAACAGATGCAAATGCAGCCTGGACTAAAAGATTGTCAGAAACATTTTGTTTTGGAAATAGATTCTCATGATATTCAGGAATAAATCCGGTGTGGACATTCCCTTTCTGGAACTCCTTATGTTGGCATAGATTCATAAGAAAATTGACATTTGTTTCCAGACCAACAATCTTAGGAAGAAGGATATTATTAGTGAGACACATTGGTCATTTAAACAACCAGAAAAATGGGACAAAATGTAACAATTACATTATAATCACACAAGTTGGTGTGAAGCTTCCTCAGAGCTTCATCTCGATTGTTTCCCCATACAACCAATTTGGCTATCATAGGGTCATAATGAACTGACACCTCATCACCTTGTCGGACTCCTGATAAATTTAAATAAAAGTAGGTTCATGAGCAAAAAGGTAGGAACAATAGAAGTCCCTCATAAATCGAAAAAAGGAAAGAAATGATCACATGAGAAAATACTCCAACCTGTTTCAACTCGAACATCTGAACCAGGAGTGGGAGTCAGAAGATGAAGAAGCGGTCCAGCTCCAGGCATAAAATTATTTTGAGGATCTTCAGCATAAATACGAGCTTCAAATGCATGCCCATTAACAGGGATTTGCTCTTGAGTCAGAGGCAGTTTCTCTCCAGCAGCAACCTTACAAAAACAGAAAGCATGAGAAACATCATAGGACTGACAGAAAAAAATACCGCAGGCAAAATTAACACAGTAAAATACAAAATGTATGCCTTACCTTGAGCTGCCATTCCACAAGGTCAGTGCCAGTGATCATTTCAGTGATTGGATGCTCCACCTGCAGTCTGGTGTTCATCTCCATGAAGTGGAAGTCGAGGGAAACGTAATCCATTATGAACTCCACAGTGCCGGCACCAACATAATTGACTGCTCTGGCTGCAGCTACAGCAGCAGCCCCCAGCTTGGCTCGAAGTTCAGCCGACACGCCTGGCTGCAAGATAGAGCATCATATAAAAGATTTTGAAAGAGAAGAGAATTGCATTTTCTAGACACTATACTTACAGCTGGTGCCTCTTCAATGACTTTCTGATGCCGACGCTGGACACTGCAGTCCCTCTCAGCCAAATATACATAATTACCGTGTTTGTCTCCAAATACCTGTACTTCAACATGCCTAGGTTTTTGAACATAGCGCTCCAAAAGAACTGCATCATCACCAAAGGCCTTCATAGATTCCCTCTTAGCTGAGTCCAGCTGAGATTTGAATTCTGATTCTGATAGGGCTATCCTCATACCCTGTGACAAAAGTGGGAAATTAAATTTGGGAACAGAATGCAAGCAACGAATATTAGAAAGAAATTACCTTCCCTCCACCCCCTCGAACTGCCTTTATCATCAATGGATAACCAATTTTCTGGGCCTCAGACATCAGTCTTTCAATGGACTGGTCTTCTCCGTGGTATCCTTGAATCACAGGAACTCCAGCAGCATCCATTATAGCTTTAGAAGTGCTAATAGATTTTATCATATTTGTGGGGGGAAAAAAGGTTTTAACTATGGTGATGCTAGACCTCATAAGCCACACACAAAATTAATTCTGTTCACCTTTTGATTCCCATATCTCGAATAGCACTGGCTGGTGGTCCAATGAATGTGACATTAGTCTTTTCACAAAGCTCAGCAAATTCTGCATTTTCAGAAAGGAATCCATATCCTGGGTGAATGGCTTGGCAGCCTGATTCTGCAGCTAATTTCAAAATTTTGTCTGCTCTTAAGTAACTTTCTTGTGATGCTGCAGGGCCAATGTTGAAAGCTTCATCTGCCTTTGAAAGAGAGAAAAATTAGTTATAGACAATAAATTTAAAATTTACCTATTTTAAAGAAAATAACAATTTTCTTACCATTGCTACATGCATAGACTTTACATCTGCATCACTATATACAGCAACAGTACGCATTCCCATACGTTTAGCTGAGCGCATTATTCTGCATGCTATTTCGCCTCGATTGGCAATAAGAACTTTATCAATGGCTCTATGTTTTGTTCCGATACAGCGATATTGTTGTACGTTTTGGTGGCTAATGTAAATTAATAAGTTTTTTATAATAGAAGCAAAAATGCAGTTGCAAGCTAAAAACTGAAAGTGTTTATTAACTTACCATTTCGGCCGAATGCATCGGTAGATAAACGAAATCATGATATGGCTTGCTGTTGCCGACTCTTGTTTGATATGGCAGATTGTGAACAAACACCTGTTGCGAAACAAACTTTGAAATGGTATCTGATCTGACAACATGTCACAAGGCAAATTTTATTTATGATTTACAACTCCTCTAAATTCCATTATGATAGCGAGTTTAAGTGTTACCTCTATTATTTTAAGTAAAAGTGACAAAATCAAAAATAGTTTATGAGGATGCTAGAGATGACTAGCATTAACTCTCTACTGTTTTAAAGCTATGTCCATGTCAACTCTAAACTATGATTAAATTTAACATAAATAATGATATTTGAGCTGGAATCACTGGCCTGAGTCGCTCTTGCCCGGTTACAATCAGTTAAAACTTGCCCAGCCGATTCAAACACATGCCGAGGGAAAAACAAGCAGACAGCTCAGCTTATCACTAGTTCCCAGCGCGGCTCCCAGATGGCGCTGCTTGCGGGCGCTGTTGCCGTTTGTTGAAATTTTTCGACCGGCCTCCGACCGCGGGCGGCACGCGCACGCGGTCCGTCGGTCCGTCGTCGCACGTTGTCCTGTGGTGGAACGGACCCACCGTTGTTAACACAAGCTCCACTCAAGAATCCCCGAAAATGGCGTCAGGAAGCGAAGACGAACTTATCGGCGACGGCGAAGGTATTTTCCGACGTATTTTAACTCCTTTTGTCCACGACTATCCAATTGCGCAGTGGTGTTTGTCCTGGGGCCTTTATTTTTGAGACTTCCGTCGACGCTGGGTGGGCCGCGTCCCTTGCGGCGGGCGGCCTGCGCCTGCGTTTTCTACCCACTTTTGGGCATTGTGCTGAGACGTTACGCAACTCTTCGTGACCTCCGTTCGTGTCTTGGCCAGAAATTATTCTCCTCCTCCCGTGAGTTTAGTAGGCCTCTCTGCCTGTTTCTTATGGGCAGCCCTACTCCTCTCTCGGCGGTTCCACTATACTGAATTTGGTCTGAGCCGGGGCGCTGGAAGTGACTTGCAGGAGCAAGCTGGCCGGGTTCACGGCCGCGCGCTCCACGCTCCGGTTGCCTTGAGGTTGGTTGTGGAGGTCCTTGTGCCATCGCCTCCGCCTCGCCTCGCCTCGGCGTCGTGGGGGTGGGGAGTGGGGACCCATTCCGATCGCCAGATTTGAGATTGAATTTGCTGGCCCTGTTATCGCCCTTTCGTCCGGAGGCCTGATCTCGGCGCACGTAGACCCATAGCCATTGTTTACCCTTCCTGTGAGTTGCTTTCATTGTTGTGACCGGTAGGCGGAGGTGTATCCGGCAGGTGGCCGCCAACCACCACAAACAACACCGCCTTGGGCCTGCCTTTTGATTAGCTGTTGATCGTTTTTATTTTGCATTCTGCATTTTTTTTGTCCAGAAATATTATTTTTGTCATGGTGGTGTAAGTGCATTGCCTTTGTTTGTGTTGCAGAGGAAGTTCGCCCAACAAGGGCAACCAGAGCATCTGCGAGACGTGGTAAGAAAGCGGCAACTCCAGCTCGTGGAACTAAAACTCGTCGTGGGCGTGCTGCTGCAGCATCAGAGAGTGTGAGTTTGATTCCTTTTTTTACACTGTGTGTTTAGTGTGTTGGTCTTTACTTTTAAGCAGGACCCGTCTGTTTCTTAATTTCTACTATATGAATGTGCGTAATGCGTTCTTTCACTTTGTAAATTGTTCTGCAAATGCAGTCGATCTCTTGGAGACCCCTTCTACCCCCAGTGTGTAAAATAAAAATTCAGTAAGCTCTTTGCTTTTGGTACTTCCAGTGCAATGGTATACTATTTTGTGGTGCATAGTTTGTTGTTGGTCTATTCTTAAGTGTTTTTTATGTTTTCTTTTCAGATGGATGATGATGTCGAACAGTTAAATGGATCTTCCAATGAGAGTAAGTAAAGTAGTGTTCTCGTTTTTGCACTTCATGTAACTCTTTTAGCCTGTTAGCCTATACTTATTTTGTGCCATTTTTGCCATTTATCCCTTTAGATGGAAATTCTGATGCTGTACCTGAACTTGACGATGTTGCAATGCCACCATCCGTGAATAACGTACAGCCATCACCCCTTCGTGCTGGTATCAAGCTGAAGAGCAACAGTATCAGTGAAGACACACCAGAACATCAGGTAAGACTGGTTTTGGTGACTTTTCTCCTAATAAGATGTTCTTACAGAAGCTAATGGATTGCTTTCCACTAGACAATGACCACTGACATCTATGAAGAAGAGGCCCCTGCTGCTGCAACGGACATATATGGTGATATGGCAGAAGATGAAAGCATGGACGGCTCCAGACCTGCACCCACAGAAGAAATGGACACACAAGAGGCACAGTCGCATCAAGAGGAAGCTCCTGCTGAAATAGGCAATGGAGGTTAGTGTGAATCATTGCTTATGTTTCTCTCATATTTTCAATAGTTGGATTTTTCTAATGGCTCTTCTCTCTGTTGGTTTAGCTGCTGATGAGTCAGAAGCCCCAGTAAAGAAACCTAGGGAAGGGTCCAAGAGGAAACTGCCCGTTGATGGAGAGTATGACCCCAGCTCACCTACCTCTGAAGATGAAAATGAAGAAAATCCTGCAAAGAAAGCTGCATTGTCATCAGAATCATCACCCAAGAAAGACAAAGAGGTCAGTTGTGCATCTGCATCGATTGTGAAACCTGATATCTGGTTATGTACCTACTTTTCTTTCACTAACAATTGTTCTCTAGTCCAAGGCTAAAGTTTTGCCGGAGCTCGAGAAGTATTGGAAGGCAGTGAAGGATGATTCTGCTGATTTCACTGGCTGGACCTATCTTCTTCAATATGTTGACCAAGAGGTATAAATTATTCTGCTGTACAAAGTACCCATATTTTCTAAACCTCAAATTGAACGTCCTTGTTTTTGTGTGAACAGAATGATGTAGAAGCTGCCAGGGAAGCTTATGATGCTTTCCTGTCCCATTATCCCTACTGCTACGGCTACTGGAGAAAGTTTGCTGACTATGAGAAGAAGAATGGCAACAAGGACAGATGTGAAGAGGTACGGTGTTTGTAGATAAATAGCTTGTTCTTCCAATCTTCGGTATGGCTGGTTAGTTATCAGGCAATTTCTTCTTTCTGCACATCTGTAGGAAGTAGTGACTGCTCTATTGTATTGGCTGAATTTCTTGGTCCAGTCACTTCTGTGACTAGATCATCTGTGTGTTGGGCTTAATGACTGGAATCTGTGACTGACGAAGCAAACACACCCCTCCCACATTTTGGGTTATTTATTACAAGTGAGTAACTGTGGGCACATAGCCAGGCACATTCTAAATTTTAGACCTGTGGGATATGACACTGTTATTTTGCTTTGTATATCTCACATATTCCAATCTCAGCCACTATAATGTGCTGGTCTGCTTTGGTCGCAATGTTTCACAATCAAAAGGCCTAAATTTGGAATGAGATATCTCCTTTTTTTGTCTCACTGGCAAAATTTTTTTCCTACAGCTGTGTCTACAGGGGCAGCTTCCCGAGGTTACGTTAACAGCTTTAAAAAGAGCCCCGTTTATACGTGAGACCATCCTTTGTGGTAATAGGTTCAAATTTTTGTGTGCGATGAACCGTGATTTTTACCTTACCGTTGTGACTGATTGTACATGACATTTATTATTTTAAGCCTCATCTTATTACATTGCCTGTGTGCCTGTTATGCTAGCCTTAAGTTATGTTGTAAGTCCGGTAGTAGTTGTAAGTGGTCTTATTTTTGCGCTATGCACGATCTTCTAAAGATCATGTATAATTGGGCGGTAAAATTTGGAATATTGGTGGCGTTGATGGGCTTCTCTACGAAGACGGTGGCCACACCTCGCAGTAGGTGTGCGCTCGGTGCCATCAACAGGCGGATGGAAGGTGCCCCAAAGACAGCGTAAGGTGATTGACTGATCTACTCTGATAATCATTGCAGATTTTATCACGGTGGTTACACAGCTAGCCTTTCGCCTGGCCTTGTTTCTTTTTTGTTGGAGTCAACAGTTGTGTGTGTGATCAGGTTTTCGAGCGTGGTGTTAAGGCCATCCCTCTGAGTGTCGACCTGTGGATTCACTACCTCAACTACTGCGTGAAGGAGCATGCTGATAATGAAGACTTCGTGAGGGGCGAATATGAAAAGGCAGTTGACGCCTGTGGCCTTGAATTTAGGTATGGACTGTGGACAATTGATATTTGGGTACTGTGATTCAGTGCATGCACGTATACTTACGGTTGTTTGATCTCCACAGGTCTGACAGACTGTGGGAAAGCTACATCAAGTGGGAGAATGAAGGAGGCAGACTCCTAAATGTAACCGCGTTGTATGACAGACTACTTGCCACTCCCACCCAGGCTTACACAAATCATTTTGACAGGTGCTTTTCATTGAAATCAGAATCTTTTTACCTTTATCCATTACAATTATATTAATCAAATGACTATTCTGTAGCTTCCAGGCACATGTTAACAACAACCCTCCAAACAAGATTCTCTCTTTGGACGAGTTTTTCAAAATTCGCCAGGAGGTTCTGCAGCAGAAGAAAACTTTTGATCAATCACCTGCTGCCACAGACGATGGTGCACCTCCTGGTGAAGATGTGGACGCACCTCCTGGTGAAGAATCTGAACAAGTTATTACTGCTGTAAGTATCAAAAGAGTTGGATTTACTCCCCTTCAAAGTTCTTTGAATTGTACTACAGGAAGGTGCCATTTATTTGCAGAAAAATGACGAGGAGACGACTGCTGTTAGGGAGCGTATCATCTCTATCAGGAGAAAGGTTCACAGCCAAACAGTTGATGCTGTCTCAGCTCGTTGGAACTTCGAAGAAGGGGTGAGTACCTTGCCTCAAGTCATTTTGTGTCAATAGTGTGTTTGCTTGTTTTTGAACCAGTGCCTTATCGGTCTTCAACTACTTTGCAGATTAAGCGACCTTACTTCCATGTGAAACCATTGGAAAGATGTCAGTTAAAAAATTGGAAGGAGTACTTGGACTTTGAAATAGAACAAGGAGAAGTGAAAAGAGCTATTGTCCTTTTTGAGCGCTGTCTTATTGCCTGTGCACTGTATGAAGAATTTTGGATGAAGGTAAATATTCATACAACTGTTTCAGATGATTTGTCCCTATTGATTATTAATCTGATGTATTCCTTCATTTTTGTTCAGTTTGTCAAGTTCCTTCAGAGTGTCAAGGAGGGCGATTATAATGAAAAAATAAGGGAGGTTTTGAATAGGGCTTGCACAATTCATCATCCCAAGAAGCCTAGCCTTCATCTATTTTGGTCTGAATTTGAAGAAATGCAGGGTATGTGGAACCTTTTTTTCTTCCGTTGTCTATGTTTCTAGCATATGTGAGAGAGTTGATTTATCGGGCTGTCTATTCTCTGTTCCAGGAAATTATGACAAAGCCACTGAAGTACTGTGCCATATTGAGAAGCTTGTCCCTGGTATGCTTCAAATAGTTTATAGAAGAATCAACCTAGAGAGACGGCGCGGTAACTTGGAGAAGGCTAGTGAATTATATGAACACTATGTAACAAATTCCAAGAACAAAACTATTGTTGTTAATACCGCCATCAAGTTTGCCAGATTCTGCTGGAAGGTAAGTAAAATTTGTCATTTCTATTCAACATGCCATTGTATTGTTCATAAATATATTCATCCATTTTTTTTCTGTTTAGGTGGAAAATGATATTGATAAAGCCATTGGCATTTTGAAGAAGGCCCTAGAGGCTGAACCGGTATGTTAACTCTCATCTACTGCAGTCCTTCCTGTTATTGTACTTCAGGACCTGTACAATTAATTTACATGGTTCTTTGTAGGATTCAACACGTCTCAGCCTTCAACTGGTCAGCATGGAAATGGAACGCACCCCAATGAACGAGGCTGCCATCATTGAGATTCTAGACCAAGCTATAGCGAGGGATGGAGATCCAGAGCAGAAGATCATGTTTTCACAACGCAAATTAGAGTTCTTGGAAGACTTTGGAAATGACATCATGAGGTAATGTCAATTATGTTCTGTGATCAATTTGACAAAGGAGCTCTTAAACCCACTACTTGCATGAACTTACTGAGACTTGTTATTTTTGTTTCTAGTGTTCAAAATGCCCATGACGAATTCCAACGCATCTTTAAACAAGTCAAGGAGCGGAAGAAGAAAAACGACCCTGATGGCAAGGGGTTATCAGCTACAAGCTACCCCCCTCCAAGCTATGCCCAGAATGGAGCATATGCACAGGTATTAAAGGGAAATCCAATTTGTTGCTGGGGTGAAATTGTAATTTATCAATCTAAACTGTGTCTTATTTTGTCTTTCAGGCCTACGCTGGAGCAGCGGCACCATATCCAGCCACTGGAGCTGTCGCTGCTGCCGCTGCCACAGGAACAACAGCAACCACCGGCACTACAGCAACAACTGCAGCTGGCTACAATCAGCAATACAGCCAAGCTTACAATCAATCTGGCGATTACCAGAACTATCAGAATTGGGGATACTCACAGACTGGCTACAGTGGTTACAATCAGGGATGGGCAGGTTATTACAACTACTGATTATTTCATTCATTGTCATTTTATTATTACCTCTCGCACATATTCTGCATCAACTTTTATTTTAACATTTCACACAAGGACGATGAAGTATTCAGAGCAACTTGAGAGGAAATATCGTCTATTTTTAAATCTGTAGCCTAGAGCTCAAGTCCTTTTTTTAGGTTTCAGTCTGACAAAGATTTCCTTTTACTGAAGGTTGCTTCAATAATTTTAGCTATTAAAGGGTGAAATGGTGTTTATCAGCAATTTAGTTACTGAAGTGTAAAGACCTAGTCCTGATTACTTTGACAAGGAAAGTGAGCAACGGATATTGTCAAGTTTGATTTTGCTGTAATGTTCTCATCAATTTAAATAAAACCAATTCTGAAGCTAAAGTCTGTTACTATTTACTGCCCCTACCCTGAATCACCTCAAGCATTTTTCACATAGTGAGCAATTAGTACTATCAATCCAATACAAGCCTGCGCTTCATGACTTGTACCGAACCTAGCTCAACGGAAATAAGGGAATGGCCTGAAGGGTGTGCTGTACCCATATCCGTAGCCTGGGGCGTATCCACCGTAACCACCGCCGTAGCCTCCACCGTATCCGCCATACCTAGGAGAGAAACCAAATACCATATTTCATCGACTGACAGGCTGCGAAGCAGCAATGGTAACATGAACAAGTCATTACCATGGGTTGTAGTATGGGTTGTAGTACGGGTTGTTGGCTGCGAAGCCGAGGGTGGCGACGCCGGCCAGGAGGTCGGAGGTGGCGGCCGCCAGCGGGGCGAGCCCCTCGAGGAGGCTGGCGAGGCTGCGGGCGCGGGCGTGGACCTCGCGCTCCTGGCGCAAGCTACGCAGGCTGCGCGCCCCGAACACGGATTCCGACCCCGGGGACAAGCCGTCGTGCAGGAGCCCGTCCACGTCCAGCGTGGTGTAGTCGCAGGGCGGACTGATGCACCGGCGGTTGGCCAGCAAGGGGTCGATGGAGTGCGCGAGCTGCAGGCCCTGCGCCACGGCCAGGAGGACCAGCAAGGTGGCCGTCATGGTGCTCATGTCGCTGCGAAGCACCAAGCAGCACGGCGGGGAGGAGGATCGCCACGGCTTTTAAGTGCCGCGCCGTCCATTGACGTATCTCGTATCGGTGCAGCCCCGCCAGAGCAGCGACCGACGGCCACGGCCCCCCCGGCGTTGTTGACGACTCGACGCGGCAAGGGACCGTCCCGTCACGGAGCTCTCCGCCGCGCGGTCGCCGGAGTTCACGCGCCTGGCCTGCAGGGAATTCCCAAACAGAACTCTGCGAAACAGTTAAGAGAAGTGCGGGTGGCTCCGTCGTAGGGGTGAAAGTGCTGCCTCATCAAGAAGCGTTTCGGGGTGGCCTCTCTCTGAGGATGACTGGTGAGAACAGCCCGGTAGGTAGGCAACCCAACTGACGCCCTCCGGGAAAACGGCCCTTTTCCCGCCTAATTTTCGAGGATTTGGACAAGGGCGCCCTTGATTCACAATTGACCACCGGACATGGGCGCAGCGCAGATTTGGCCGCCAAGAAGAAGTGCAACTTTGTGGGTCAAGGTCGTCGCTCGGGCCGAGAATCAGGGTGCGTTGGTGCCGGCCGGGGCCGGGGCGCGGCGGGGCCTCGGTGCCGCCGATGTGCCCTCCTTTCTCTTGAGCCCAGCCCTACCTGCTACTGCCTGCTACCCGCTCGGCCCGAACCTCCCCGTCACCAGTTACAACCGCACCTATAAAGGGAGGGTCGCCATCGCGCGCACAGCCACTGCCAACAAGTTGGTGTTCCTGGCCGCACGGCGGCACGCTCGACATGTCTTCGGTGAGTACCTCCTCGACCCACCCTGCGCCCTCCGCGCCGCGGGAGCCCCCTGTTTCACTGTCCGGTTGCACCCCAAGCCCAGGTACTGGTCGGTGGTGGCGGTGGCCCTGCTGGGCTGCAGCCTGGCCACGCCACTGCCCTCGCCGCAGGCCCGCGCGGGGCAGGACGTCGCGGACGCCTTGAGCAGCGCCCTGGGATCCAAGGGCCCGGCCACCAGCTTCCGCGTGGACGTCCTCGACGCCCCCGTGTCGGACGACGGCCTGGACAACGGCGTCGAGGGGGACGACCCGAAGAGGCAGTTGTCGCCCGCCACGCAGTCCTTCCTCAGCACCCTGGGGACCGCACTGGGGCCCATCGTGGGCGCCATCGTGGGACCGCTGCTCACCAACATTGGCCAGAACCTGTCCGCCGGCAGGTATGTGTGCTAGTGACTGTCGGTCGGGGGGGGATAAGACCTTACACTCACGGCTTTCCCTTGTCTGCCTTGCAGCGGCGCCCAGGCCATCACGCAGCTGCAGCAGGCTGCGCAGGCCGCCGTGGCAGCTCAGCAGCAACAGCAGCAGGGTGGTCAGGGCGGTAACCCCGCGTCCGCCGTGGCCGCGGCAGCTGCCGCCCTCGAGATAAGCGGTTCAGGCCCGACTTCCACGACGGCGTCCCCCTCTCCCTCGTCGCCGCGCCCCAGGCCCCAAACAGCGCGCCCGACCCGCCGACCCGGGGCCCGCCCGTCGCGCCCCAACGCCAATGGCCGGCCCACCGTGGACGCCACCTCGCCGGCCCCCTCGACGGCGCCCTCGGCCGCAGCGCCGCCCAGCCAGTCCTTCGACGCGTTCGTACTGGACGTCCCCGGCAGGGGCCCGTTCCTGTTCCTCATGACGCCCAACGCCTCGGCCGCCGAGCAGTCGGCCGCCATCAAGCAGGCCCAGCAGCAGGCCGCGCAACTCCTCGCGGTAAGAGGCTGAACCACTTTGCAGTTCGTTCGTGGCGACAATGACAGCTAATGACGATGCCATGTCCATGTCAGGTGGACGGACAGTCTTCCCCTATCGGCGCCGTGGCCTCCCTCATCGGCACCACGCCCAGGCCCCAGGTCACCAAGCCCACGTCGGTCGGGCCGCTGCCCGTGCACCCCGTCGTCAGCGTCACCCCACCGCCACCGCCGAACCCACTACCGTCGTACCACTCCCTGCTGGACACCGACGAGCAGGACCAGCAGGGCGAGGAGGAGGTTGCTGTGGAGGAGGTGGACGCCCCGGACCATTCAGGTGAGTCTCTTCTTCTTTTCCACAAGGAAAATTTGTACACGAACTTGTCTTACTTTATTGCCGTTTTTCAGATGAGACACACACGCATTCTGATCTGGGGAAAGCGAAAGAAGATGGCAGTGACTTCTCATCACAGTCGTTCCTTGAAAGATTGTTTCCGGAAATGGTCTAACTTACAATTGAAGACTGAGCCTACATGTACCTAGTCAGGATTTAACAGCCTCTTGCCAGCCCTGTCCTGGCCACAGTTGTTAAAAACATTATTACTGTATTTATATTATTTATTGTACCTGCAGTTCTGCTGTAAATATATTTATTTCTGAACCATCTAGAGCGCTTTCATGAAAAATTTTTCCCTGTTCTTCTCAAAGTAAGTTAAAATGGATCAAAGAGAACAACCTGATCAACATCATAGAGAGAATAACATTTATTTTAAAAAAAACTGCATTATAATTTCTGGAAGGAAATTAAATCACATTCATAGATTCATTGAGCACCATTAAACAAAAATAAACAAAACATGGTGGCTCATGCTAGATTGACCAGAAGTTAAAAATTGCATAACAATACATATTCACAAATGTCAAAAATAATTTGAATATAGTAAGAGTATTGAGAGTCATCTGTTGCCCGTAAGTCCTCGCCAGTAGGACGCAATACTTGTAACTAGACCCCCTGCCATACTTGTTCCTTGTTGGCTACTCATCTGTTGAGAGAGAAGGCTTGCAGAGCCTTGAGGAATCTCTTGACAACCTGCTGACAGTGGTATCTGCACAAAAGAGTTAAATCAAGTCACATTTTGAGAAGAACCTTGATTGTTGAATTTTATTGATAATAATCAACATGGCTTACATTTTCCCATTCCTTATGAATGAGGGCGTCACTTTCATCTTCTGAACAAGAATCAACATCCTCACTTGCCTGAGCAAGGTCTCTTTGCAGCTGATCTTCCACAGACATTGCAAGCATTGGATCTATGTACAATGGCCCTTGCCTAATGAAAACAATAAAAATAGTTAGAAAAGCTAGCCAATGTTAGGAAAATGAAACTAGGAGACAGAATAATTTTACCTTCCCAGGTCGCTGACTTGAGTATTCAGCAGATGTAAAATATTGGACAAAGTGTGATTGGGTTGTAATATATCAGGACTAACATTCTGGGAAAAGCAGAGGTGGAGCACATTCCAATTGAGTCGAGCCACTCTCTTTGCAAACTTCTGCTCACTAAGTTCTGTCCCACAAAAGTCACTGCAAATAATCAACGTGTATTTAGAAACCGAAACCAATAGGCTCACACAATCATTAAACCTGTAAACTGAAGATCATTGCCAACCTGTATTTTAGTTGGCAGGGGAGTGGCACATCAAGATAAAATGATAACACATTAATGAGTTGTGCTGTATAAGTCAAAGCAGCACTGATGTTGTAACCTGGGTTACGCTCTGCAGTGTCACTAGCAGGAACACCATCCTTAGTTGAGGCCACTGTAAAACAAAGTTACACAGATGAGGTTTGATATTACTCAGGATTACACAGAAAATTTTTTTTCATATGAAAAGGCTGATTGCCAGTACCCCAGTCATTGTAAGCAGAATAATTTCCAGATCCAGGTAATGTTGGAGCGACAATACAATGCTGCAATTCTCCTGTACTGTCAGTGAACACCCATCGCCCTCTAATGTATGTTGTGCGTGTTGCATCTGCTAGAGCTGATACCGTATCATCACAGTCTTCCATACTGAAAATCACATATATGTTTCAATGATGTCAATTAAACGCAAATTATTACTCAAACAAAATTGAAACATATTTTTTACCTGCGAGTAGGGGCAACAACTGTTATAGGAAATATAAAACGTACAAGTTGAGGAACATTATTACGAATAACTTTTTTCAGCTTTTCTTGTAATTCATTAACAGCAGTCTCTTTCCTCTTAATATTAGATTTTGAGTTAACAACCATATCTGCCAATTTTTTCACTCGTTCAGCACATATAGGTAAAACAGACTGGCTACGACTGCGGTTGTCATCTTTCATTTTCTGTTCAAGGCTTTGGCCTGCAAACAAAACACAAGGAACACATTAAACAGAAAATATTTTGTTGTGACCTGTGTCAGTTGTGACCTGTATAGGGCTACAGGAATTGATGACATACTTTCACGTATGCTGTCCTTAGAGGCAGATAAAAGGCTGCGCAGAAGCTGAATTCTGTCTCTACACGCATTGATTTCATTTTTCTGAAACATTGAAATGGATTTAGCAAATTCGACATCTTGAGAGAGCTTTAAACTTAGAATTATACTTTTAATATGGCGGTGATCCTACTTACAACAGTGTCTACTTCTTTCTTCTTGGAAAGTCTTTTCTCACACTCGTCAACAATGAATTGACGTCTTTTCCTTACTTCTAATAGACGCAGCTGTTTCTCTGCAAACCTGAGAAAAAAGTCAAAGGGGCCATTCATTAAAAATGAATCAGAATGACGATGAAATAAATTGCTGCACCATAGCAATTTTAAGACCATTGACTGCTACTCAATATGGCAGTTACTGCATTTTACTCTTCTTAGGCAATTACTAGAGGAACGACGGCTGAGAAGAATAAAAGACAGCAAATGACATACTAAAGGGAAAAATCCTTTCTCATGTCTCTGGATGTAAGCCTACCTTTCTGATATGGGTGAGGTTGAGAGAACAAAGTCCCCATTTCTCACACAAACTGTACAATGGAAAGACTTTTGGCGAGATAAACACAGTGGGCAGCATTCTTTGGCAACGCTCTCATCAGTACTGTCTTCAATTAACGAGGATAAATTAAAATCAGCAGGTGCAATACAGCTGTCGTCAGATCCACTTGTAGCCATTTCTTGTTTCCTTTCCTAAAACTAGTTTGTTTGTGCAAAATTGATCTGAAGACCCACCAGATGGCGCATCAGTCGCTTGGTCGATTGTACAACAAAACTGATGCTTAGTTAAGACAATAAATAAATCGAATGTTTATGTCCCTATAATGATCTTATTAACTGTGATTGTATAAATGGATTGATTTGGCTGAAACAAATGAGCTTGTCAAAGGAAAGTTACTTTTTTATACGATTTGTAAGTATTTGTTATTTTATTTTCTGTTGGAGCCTGGAAAAACCATCTTGACCAACCTGATAGCAACAACTGTCATGACTAAACTGCCGACCGATTCTTTTCAATGAGATTTTCATTCAAATGAATATACCGTAGCGTATTAATGGTTTTTTGTTACACGAAAAAGAAGCAGTGATTGTCCATGAAGTCGTATAGTTAAAGACAAACGGCCTTGAAATTTTATTCGACTACGTTGGTAGTGACATCCACGTATCTAGTGGACGGCTGTCAAAAGGTTGGGTGTTATTTTGAGTATTTTGGTGTCTTTTCGATCCGTAGAGTAGCCTTTTGGCACTCAAGTCAAAGAAAAATGGTGACGCTGCTGAATACCGTTGACACCGGCCATGAAGATATGATACATGATGTGCAAATGGACTACTATGGGCTGCGGTTAGCGACGTGCTCCTCGGACAATTCGGTGAAGGTTTTCGATGTTAAAAATGGAACACAGACTCTCACCGCCGACTTGAAAGGACATTATGGACCCGTCTGGCAAATAGCGTGGTCTCATCCCAAATTTGGAAACCTCCTTGCCTCCTGCTCGTACGACAGGAAGGTTATCATCTGGCAGCAGAGTGGCGAGTGGTCTAAAGTTTACGAATACAGTGGCCACGATTCTTCTGTCAACTCTGTTGCTTGGGCCCCTCACGAATTTGGCCTGATATTAGCTTGTGGAAGTGCTGATGGCTCTGTGTCAATCCTCTACAATAGTCCTGAGACTGGAACATGGGAAGCAAGAAAAATCCCTGGCGCCCACACCATTGGTTGCAACGCTGTGAGTTGGTGCCCAGCTGCAACGCCCAACCCTGCGTTCGACTCATCTGCTAAGGAGCGTCAGCCTTTAGTCAAGAGATTAGTTACTGGAGGATGTGATAATCTTGTGAAGATTTGGAAAGAAGAGGGAGACCGCTGGGTCGAAGTGAGCAAGCTAGAAGTCCATTCCGATTGGGTTCGAGACGTTGCGTGGGCACCATCTATTGGACTCCCCAAATCAACTATTGCCAGCTGTTCTCAAGATCGAAGAGTTGTCATCTGGAGCAGCGAAGACAATGTTAACTGGATTCCCTATACCTTGCATACATTTGATGATGTTGTTTGGAGTCTCAGTTGGTCATTGACTGGAAACATTTTAGCTGTATCTGGTGGAGATAACAATGTTAGCTTATGGAAGGAAAACAATGAAGGGCAATGGATTCGTATTGATGGTAAAAATAAAGAGCAGGGCCAGTTGACTGGAAACGAGCAGAGAGAAATGTAAATTGTCACCTAGCATTTTGTCTTACGAGAAAAAAATTGTACCAAAATATTCATTATGTTGCATTCACTGTACGCCATTTAACTTTGTATTTTGGTCTTTATTTTGTAAATACATTCTAAGAATTTCAGCCGTGTTATTATTTTAATTTTACTTTATAAATGACTGTTACTGTTCTTTCCTTTCCTATTCTTTTTCAAGAACTCATTCAAATAAAAATGGGATAAAATAAAAGCAACAATTTGTCTTCACTGCCCCCTTCCATTCATTGCTGATGTTTACTTCACCAAAAACATACTGCTCACCACTGAAATACGTATATTACAGAAATTTGTCAGCTGAAGTGCCCTAAATTGAAGTGATGGAGAGAGAACAATTTACCTTGGAGAAAGAAACCGCTTATTTAAGCACGAACTTCCCTTCCGTTTGGAGTCCTCGTAGCTGAAAATATCATATTTTGCAGAGTAGAGAGTGGGAGGGGGTGTGGGCTTGGGGCTTGCCCGTGTCCGCCGGTGCTTATCAAATGTTGAGAGATCAGCTGATTGTTAGATAGAATAACACTCTGAAAGTTGTTAGTTACAGGGAAATTAATATAGCGCGGGTTATTTTTATTGCTCAATATGGTGGTGTTAAATCCAGGCTGTGAGCTAGGTTTGTACATTTGTTTATCACAATCAACAGTGTTTACATAACCCCATATGAGTCTTTGTGTATTGAGGCCTTAGTTTAGGTTAACATAGATGTTTTCACCATAGTATTATACTTTATTTTGTCTTCAGACTTGGGATGGCTTAACTCAATCCATGTGAACACTGCTGCTGTCCACCAACGTGCTGCAAACCTTCAGTCACGGAAAGCTGTGAAAGGTCCCTACCAAGCCGCCTGGCTTTTAAGAGCAGTGACTTGTATTGACTTAACGACACTGGGTGGTGATGATACAGATTCCAATGTTATGCGCCTGTGTGCCAAGGTAAAATTATTCATACTGAAATTTATATTTTCTGTTGAAAAATTCTCTGAAAATGTTTGATTGCAGGCTTGCCGAGCGGTCTCTGAGGATATGTTGGAGGCTTTAGGATTCGAAGCTGGTAATATTCAGACAGCAGCGGTTTGTGTTTATCCTGCTAAAGTACCTATTGCTGTTGCAACATTGAAGAAGATGAAAATGGAAAACAAAATAAACGTTGCCTCAGGTAACTGCCTGTAAACCCACAGTTAACATAAAAAGTATTTTCTTTTTAAATTAATTCAAACCAGTAACTCAATGATCATTTTTTTCTGTTTGTAGTTGCCACTGGATTTCCCTCCGGCCAGTATCCATTGGAGACTCGACTTGCAGAAATACGATGGGCAGTGGAGAAGGGAGCACACGAAATTGATATTGTTGTTGACCGCAGCCTTGTGATAAATAAGTTGTGGGTTGACTTGTATCAGGAAATTCAAAAGATGAAAGAAGCATGTGGAAGTGCACATTTAAAAACCATTCTTGCAGTTGGAGAGCTTGGGTCGTTTGACAATGTATACAAGGCTTCACTTGTTGCAATGATGGCCGGTTCTGATTTCATAAAAACATCCACAGGTCAGATTTTTAAGGTATTTTTCATATTTTATTGGTGGCTTTTGTTTACATAATATTCACTTTGTTTTAAAAAATTAACAGGAAAAGAGGCAGTAAATGCAACCATCCCAGTGGGAATTGTCATGTGCCGAGCAATCAAGGATTACTGGACTAGAACTGGCTATCAAGTAAGAGTTTAAATTATATTTAAATACTCCACTTGTATTTACAAGCATAGAACTCCCACAAAGTTCTCTCTATTCAAACCTAAAAATAATGATACAAAATACGAGAACAAAAAATTGTAGGTTCTATGGTTGTAGTAAATGTTTTCAAAAATCATTTGAAGTCTTACAAATTTAACCACAATTATCTTTAATTTTGCCAGGTTGGATTCAAACCAGCTGGAGGAATTCGCACTGCTGCTGACTCCCTTGCCTGGCTTATCATGATTAAGGAGGAGTTAGGTAATGACTGGCTCAATAACAAGATGTTCCGATTTGGGGCATCTGGTTTGCTTGGCGACATTGAGCGTCAACTACATCATCACATAACTGGCCGCTACGCAAGTGCAACTCAATTTGCTATGGGGTAGAAAAAGTGAAATATTTTACTTGTATAAAAAATGCTCTATTTTAATTATTAAACAAGACTGGATATAAACTAAATAACTCCCTTTGACTTAAAATTTATTTTTTTAATATATATTTTGGGATTGAACTGTCATCATGTACCTATTTGTTGTTAAAATACATTTTTGACTTACAATGTTCTTTCGCTGTCTTACTTTGTCCCCTCTCATCCTTGATAAGCACCAGAGTGTTGCCTTGGTGGCCTCTGTTGACCAGAGCCTCTATCTGCCTTATTTTGCCGGCTGGCATTCATGTCATGATTCCAGTCCTCACAGTGCTAAAAAATCAAAATTCAATCAAAATTTGCTCTCAAATTGACATTTAAGCTCCATTCATAAACCACAGCTGAAAGTATAGTTTTACTTACTCTTCTCCCCTTTTCTTCAAGGCATAAAGCAAGATTTTTGGCAAAGTCACATCTTCCTCCTATATTGCCTGCAGCAGAAAATGAAAAGACAATGAAAAGAGAGACATCCACCCAGCTGCACTTAGTTTCTATAATCAGAAATGAGAAGAAAATTTCATAAAATGTTAATGCTTGCCTGACATGAGAATATCAAAGCACTCATGAATGGACTCCTGTATGAAGTCCTTCAGCTCCGGATCCCGAATGCGCTGGGTCATGGCGCTCACGACAGAACTCTTATCAGGGTGTGAGTTTTCATTTACCTGACCAAAAAAATAAATTATAAAAAAAATGTTGGATGAACAATTAAAACAATAGGCTAAATAAAAAGAAGCCAAATCACCATTTTCATCTGCCGGAATATACAATGAACGATGCACTGCAACCAAGACAGGCAATCTGTTAGCTCAGGGAGTCCATACTGAGTGCACTCGTTTCAAACTCCAGCTGGGATGACCCACCGCGTCCACCTGGTCGAACATGGACGCGTCTCCTCCGCGTCGTCGCACCGCTCTCCTGGTCCGCGGCCTGCTGCCCCTGTTGCTACTGCTGCTTCCGCCACGGCCACCCTTGCGCGACCCACCCGAGTCTCCTCGGGAACTGCCATCGCCACCGTTGTTGTTGTTATTGTTGTTGTTGTTGCTGCTGCCCTGCATGTTGTTACCTCCTCTCTGCCCGTTGTCACCACCAGAGTTCGCGTCGCAGCTGTTACTCCCGTAGCCTCCTGCGGTTACAAAAATGAGTTGTTTAAACAGAAGCTGGTAGCTGTGGTCCGTACGTCATTCCAAATAGTAGCTTACCGCGGTCTCCTCGCTGGCCGCCCTGCCGATTGTCGGAGTCCCCGTAGTCGTCCCCGTCACCCGACTGGTACGTCGGACCTGCAGGACACGAGCAAGGACACCTTCTTTGCCTGCGTGTGGTCAGTTTAAGCCAAGCGCCCTCGCATCGGGGCCGATCGGGGCCCTGCTTGCTTACCCCCTCTGGAACCGTAGGAGCCGCGCCTGCTGTGGGACCCCGACCCGAGCGAACCGCTGCCGTAGGAGCCCCCGCCGTAGGATCCGCCACCGTAACCACTCCCGCGAGACCCGCTTCCGTAACTACTTCCGTAGGATCCGCTCCCGTAACCACCGCCGTATGAACCACTGCCGTAGCCAGCGCCGTAGGAACCACTGCCGTAACCAGCGCCGTAACCACTCCCTTGAGAGCCCCCTCCGTAACCGCCTCCGTAGGCACCACTTCCGTATCCTCCGCCATACGAGCTGCCCATGGAGCCGCCCGAGCCGTACCCGCCCCCGCCGTAGCCACCGGGACTGTAGCCGCCGTACCCGTAGCCTCGCCGGCCGCCGCGGTCCTCGTCCTCGCCGTCGCCGCCTCCGTAGCTGTAGCCGTAGCCGTTACCTCGGGGAGAAACATCGAACATCGGCAATCACCAAATCGGATAACGACGAAGGAGCCAGCCAATCTGCGTCCGAATCCTCGCGACAGAGCGCCTGCAGCTCGCAAGGCGGCCTCCGCAACGCAGCGCCGCGCGACGGGCTTGCCTACGCCACAGGCGTTAGCGCTCGCCCAACTAATTGTGTAGCCGCGATTCATCAATCAGGCCAAAGAGGGAAGCGGCGCGCGCAAAAAGTCTCCCGCGTTTGCTAGAGAAAACAGGCGGTTTACACGGCTTAGACACTGCAGGGAAGGCCGAATTTCTGTGTCGCATTGAGAGAGGCTCTCCGAAAAAGGGAGTTTGCAACATGATGGGAGTCGGACGCCGGTCTTTTGGGCTGGCGGTGGAGGACTCTACGCGCTTGGCCACAGTCATCCTGCAACAAATGGCGGGTTCACGACGTGGCCGTTGTGGCTGTTACCTCGGTTGTACGTCCTGCGCTGCTCCTGGCGATGGCTGCCGCGACCGCCGCCACCATTGCCGCCGTGCCTGTCGCCGTGCCTGTCGCCGTGCCTGTCGCCCCCCGCCAGCTCCCAGTCGTTGGACACGTTGCTCATGCAGATGCGCACCGCCTCCCTGTAGTCCTCCTCGCCGGCCGCGTCTTCCTCCATGCGACAGCGCAGTGCCTGCCCGACAGTGGAGGCAATTTGTCGGCATCACAACCCCGAAGCGCGGCGAGGGGGCGCTACCCCATGCAGCAGCGCGGCAGCGCCACCACGGCGGCGCGGGGTAGACCCAGATGGGACGTGTCCATACGCCGCGACCGCGGCCGCCGCAAGCTCACCTGCACCGCCGCCAACGCCAAGCAGACCACGGCGACGAAGATGACGGCCTTCATTTCAAGCCGCCCTGCAGCCGCGGTGCGCGGTGCGCGGTGCGTCCTCGTCCGGACGGAGATGATTCTCGCCACACGACCAGCGCCTCACTGCTCGCGGCTCACTGCACCTGGCCGCCAAACTCCGGCGCCCGACCCGGCCCGGGAGGCTCGTTTGCTCTGTCTCCCTCGCACCCACACGGGCCGCCCCCCGAGTGCGAGGGAGACAGAGCGACGAAAACGACCCTCGGAATCGGTCTGCAGGCCATGATATGCCGGACATGCAATTATTGCCTCAGCGGGATGGAGCTCTGCTCTTCCGGCGTGCCCACAATGCGGCGAGACCGGTGAGACCGACGAGCCGAGTGGCAGGCCAGTGGCAGGGTCAGGCCGCGTCGCCGTCCTGGAGTCCCGGCCGCCCCGGCCGTCCTTGCCCCGTAACGGAGCCCGTCCGTCCAGCCGGACAGACTAACCACGAGTCTATTCAGGCGGGCCGGCCCAGGCCATCCTGCCGACCTGTCCAAAGTGCGCAAGCAGCGCAAGCACTGCCCACGAACAGTGCTCTGTCTTGCTCCCACCACGAGGCGTGCCGCAGGGTACCGCAGGGGTGCGAGGGAGACAGAGTGGCGAGTTGGGACTCAGACTCCGGCGTCTCCCCCTTCGGCCTGCGAACGGCCTGCCACACTATCGTGCACTATCGTGCTCGCCGCGCCTGGTTGCACGCCAATCCGACGCGTGGGCAACAATAAAGGCTTGCGTGCGCGTGAGGGGCCGTGAGGGGCTCGGCGGCCGCGGCCGCCACTAGCGTCCCGGACGCCGACAAGATGGCGGCGCGCGCGCTGCTGCTGGTGGCGCTGCTCGCGGCCACCGTGGACGGCCGCGCGTTCCGGCGGGGACAGACGGGTGCCGCGAGCGGCAGCTCGTCGTCCGAGGAGGAACAGGACGACGCGGCCACCAGGCGGCCGCCGACCCTCGACGAGGACCTGGCCACCGCGCTGCGGGGCTGCATGGACCACTACGCCGCGGACCGCGGGGACCGCGGCGTCAGGACGGAGGCGGGGGCGGGCGCGCCGGACCAGTGCCAGCAGGTAGGCCGACTCGATTCCCTCGCCGTCAAAGGACCTCTGGGCGTAACTTCATCCAACTGTTTTTCTGCGGCACAGGCCAGGCAGGGCACGCCCCTTCGCAGGACGGCGTCCGAGGCGGCGCCCGACCGAGCTTGGGCCCGGAGGCGGGGCAGGCGCAGCCGAAGCAACCGAAGCAACCTCCCCGGAGGGGGCCCGGACCTCTCGGACAGCCCCCCGGGGGGTGCGGTCGCGGCCATCAGGTCGTGGGTGACCTACTACGGCGAGCTGCCCGGGCCGAGCACCAGCAAAGGCAGCAAGGGCGTCCACTGGGACGCCTCAGCCGTGAGTGTCTTGTCTTTGTCTCCTTCCCTCCGGACCCTCCGGACCCTCCGGACCCACCGGGCCAGCGAGCAAACGCCGCTCGCTTCGGAAAGCAGGGAAAGGCAGAGATAGAAAATGGCGCGTAAATTGCGCTGCTCTAATATTTACCCCCTTGCCGCGCTCGCCTCGCCCCGCACCCCGAGGCGGTGGTGCAGCCGTTGCTCGGGCAGCTTGTTGTTGCTGTTGTTGTTGTGCTCGACGGGGGTAATGACGTCGTCGTCGTCGTGTTGCAGTGTGCGGTGCACTGCGCCTTCGTCCGGACGCAGCTGGTGAGTACGGCGGCAAGCCCGGTTGGACCTTATTCCCGACAATGCTTTCGTCGCTCTGTCTCTTTCGTTGCCCCTCGGTACGCCGGTAAGCCCCACGAGTGCGAGAGGGACAGGGTGCTCCATCCACACGGCGCTCTCCTTGTCGTCGAGTTTCTCCCGGCCGGAGTCTTCGCAGTGGCGGCAACGGCCTGATTGGGCCGGCGGAGGGCCCGGCCGCCCGGCCCCTCGCCTCACAAGGCCCGCTTCTTGAAACCGTCGTGCTTCATCGAAGCCAAAGTGACACTTTCATCCCGAGCACAATGAGTCAACCGCGGCCCGGTGGCCCGCCAGCCTGGCGCGGCGCGGCAGCGCGGCAGATTGCCCTTCATCTGCTTGCATTATTATGACGTGGCCGATTTCGTCAGGACGGTTTAATCCGGACCGCGACCACTTCCTGCAGGACGATGGCCGCCGATGGCGCGGTGGAGACCTGCTTGCGCGGACGCAACCCCGGACTCTGTGTGAGGGCCGAAGTCGTCAAATGGGACAAGAATCAAACGCGTCTCGAAAGGGTTGCCAACCTCTGCCTGCCTACGAGACAACAAAAGTAGTTGTCTTATGGCCGATTTCACCAGAGGTGGCAGCAGTGAAATGACAGTTAGTCCCGAACAAACACACGACAAACGTGCACGAAATGGCCTTTTTTAACGGTCAGTTGTGCGCGTCTGTCGCCTGTTTGTTGTGGAACGACTGTCTTTTGTTTCGTTTGTTTCACTGCTGCCACCTCTGGTGGTCGGCAAGACGGAATGTTTGTGTTGCCTTACTGGTAGACATTCTTGATTCTCCAGGTGTCGCGGTCCGGGCTGCCCGACGAGGCGCTGCTCAGCAAGCGGCTGGAGGACAGCATCGAGGAGCCCCGGAGGCGCCTGGCCGCCATGCGCAGCGCGGCGCTTGCTTCGCGCGCCTGGGCGCCGTCCGAGGTGAGGCAGACGGACGGACAGACAGACAGACAGTCACTGTCACTCGGCGTCATCCGTGGCTGCCCGCAGCCCGGCGCGCACGCCAAAGAAAGATTGCCCGACAGCAGCACGGTCTCGACAGGCAGTCGTGGGACAGCGCCAATGCGTTTGACGGAGCTGGATGTATTTTGTTGTCATCAGAATGAAACACGTTTCTTTTTGGCATAAGCAAAGCGAGTTGGGTCGGATGATACGCTTTCATTGTCTGGCGCTGCGGACAAGTGTAGAACGATCAACTGGAACGCGGGAGAATTCTCGGGTGCTCCATGCCAATTGGCGACGGGGTCTGCACTGCTGCTTTGCTGCCGTTTGCTGCTGCACTGGGAAAGTGAGACGCAAAAGCGAAGCGTAACAAGTGCGGCGCCACCCACGCCGGGCTGGCCGGGGCAGCCGGGGCAGCCGGGAGGGAGGGGGAAAGTGCAAGATGCGTAGCTTGACGTCGCCGCGACTCGCCGCGACGGAGACGCCTTGTCGCACGCCACACGCCTGCGGCTCGGAGGATGTGCCGAAAACCAAGGTCAACCGAGCCAAACACAACCTTAAAACTCTCTTTTCGGGCCCATCCCTATTTTCAGTGTCGAGGAACTGAGATAATAGAAAAGCGCCTGTTTCTCTGTTCCAGACACCGACGACGACCCTTGCCAATACACGACCAAGCTGGCCAAGTGCATGGACATGCAGGTGGTGAAGGAGTACGTGAGGATGAAGCAGAGCAGCTCGTAAAACAAAACATGCAATCAAAGAGGATGTAAAAAGAAAAATAAGCCAAACTTGTACAAAATATAAACTTTAATTAATTCGAACACACATCCACTTAATACAAGACGCATCGAAAGCACATCTAGGCATCGTTATTGGCAGTTCATGGCTGTTTCAAAAATAGTACAACGCACCCCTTCCAGTTTTCCTCTAATGACAAACTAACTTATCTCTAAGCTAAAACTAAGAATAAATTAAAACCGTGGGCGCGTCCCGCCTGGCGCCGCCCCCTGCTCCTGCTCGCTCGAGTAAACTCGGCCCGACCACTAACGGTCTAACGGCCCGTCCTTGCGCGCCCGAAGCCTAAGCCCCGCTGCGGCCGGCTGCGGCATCTTTGGCGGCCAGGCGGCCAAGCCACGGCGGGGCAGTAACTTAGGACCGGGCCGGGCCGCCGCCGGGCCGCCGCCAGGCCGAGGTGCCACATGCTCCCCACTCGTTTTGTGGACACACCACTGGCTGGTACACCACTCCGATAAACCGGAACGCAGAGGGACCGTTTCCGAACGCCGCCGAACTCCGACGCCGCCGACCATCCTGGGACGCGGTGTACGCCGGCGTCGGAGTTCGGCGGCGTCCGGGAACGGCAAACCGCTCCCCTGCGGCGGTTTGCGACTCAGACACGTGTCCGAAGTCTGAATGGAAACACCGCCACACCCGAGCGGCCCGACGCGACGCGGCCAGACGCGGCGGCCGGCGGGGACATCCGTGACACTGCGGTGCACTGCGCCGCACTGCGCCGCGGCACTCCACTCCACTGTCGCTGCTGTCGCTGTCACAACGAATTGAGTAGAGGCACCGAGGCGTGGAGGCACAGCCAAGGCACAGCCGCAGGGCCCGCAGGGCGCGTGGAGGTGCAGCCAGTCCGTTCGGTCCTTTCTTTCCTGCCGCTCTCTCTCTCTCTGTCTCTCTCTCTGTCTCTCTCTCTCTCTCTCTCTCTCTCTCTCTCTCTCTCTCTCTCTCTCTCTCTCTCTCTCTCTCTTTCTCTCTCTCTCCCGTTTCTCCGCCGCCACACCACTGGCTGGAATGTCTACAGGCGGCGCGACTGGGCGCCACCTCGCTGGTCAATTCGAACGATCGGCGCGATTTGGTTAGCGACCGGTGGGCGCTCCGCTTATCACAGGAACCTCAGACGCGTGCCCAGGGAGGTGGGGAGGGAGGGGCGCCCCCTGCCGCCGAGCCAAATCGCTTCAAGTCAGTGACTCGACACTCCGGACAACTTCCTGGTGCACGCCGTGCACGCCGCCGGGCCGCTAGGTGTGCAGCTTGCTGACGTCCGCCTTGTAGCCGCCCTGGGAGTCGGCCTTGTAGTTGACGACCTGCAGCTTGCCGTGCTCGTCCACGTAGCCGTAGTGGCCCTTGACGTTGCCGTGGGGGTCGCGCTCCTCGTACCGGAACTGGCGATTCTGCCTGGAAAAGCAAACAGGAACTAAACTGGGGGAAGAAAGGCAGAGCCACAAAGAGCCGCCGGGAAGGGCCAGGCAGGGCCAGGTATCGGGAAAGCTCTTTTCCTCCTTCCACAGCCCGCCAGCCTGCCCCGCGGGCCCCCTTCCCTGCCCCCAGCCTGCCGCGTTGCCGCGTTCAACCTAAAGGGGAAGCAGACGTTCTTTCCAACGTTTTCGTTTGCTGCATCAAATAGGATGGAGTAAGTTACAGGATGATGCATCATTGTGAAGCGGCGGCGGATGGGTTGAGCTCTAGCCCTTTCCATCGACACGTCCCGTCGCAGCCGGCTGCGTTCGACACGACAACGCGTGCTGCTGCTCCCCGTCAGGAGCAGCGCGGCCGCCTTGTCAGCGGCTCCTTAACGCCCGTAATGGATGAACCCGGCGCTTTAGGCCCGAACCCTCACACAATGGCCTGGTGCGGGAAGTCGCTCCGTCTCTCTCACTCTCACTGGGCGCCTCGCGGGGGCGAGAGAGACAGTGCGGTGCGGTTCGGAATCAGCCGGCTGCGAACGGACATGCGCCCTCTCGCGTTGCGTCGCCGTGGCGTCGCCGTGGCGTGGTCGTCTTACCCGTTTCCAGTGTCGTAGCCGAACTTGTAGGACTTGGGTCCCTGCAGGCCGTGCATCTGGAACTCGACGCGGTCGCCGTCGCTGAGGCCGGCGTAGCCGGGGTGGCTGCCCGCGTGCTGCAGCCCCGTGGCGGACACCTCCTGGAGCACAAGAAGAGGGGGATGAACCACGTCGCCGAGACGTCGCCGTCCGCGGTCCGCGGTGGGCAATAACGCGATGGGGAGTTCGGGACGTAAAAGCCATGGATCGGACGACGTCGTCCCGGCCGTCCCGGCCCGGCTTGAGATCACGCCCTAAAACACGGCCTTTATGGCGAGGCTCTCAGCCAAGCACACCATCTCCAAACCTAAACACGACAATATTACGGAGACAAAGGAAAAATAATAAAGTTGGACAAGCGGCGCCGAGCCGAGCCCGCGGCAGGGCAGCCTCGTGGACACAGCTCTCCGTGCTCTGTCTCTCTCGCGCCCCGACGGAGCGGCCCGCGAGTCGGAGGGAGACAGAGCGACGAAAACGACGCGGGGGAGGAACCGCAGAGGACCGCGAGGAACGGAGGCGGAGTGATGGAGCAGATTTGCTCCGGCGGGAACGGGGCTGCGGACTGATTTCGCGGAGCGTCTCGCTCTGTCTCCCTCGCACCCACCGGGGCGCCGCGTGAGTGCGAGAAGGACAGAGACGGTCGACTTCGGAGGCAGCCTGGCCGGGAGTCGCGAGGAGGACGGAAAGTACGCTAATCAGAGATGGGAATTAGAGCGGGGCTGCCTTTTGTGCCCCCGGCCGGCCCCAGCAGATAAAAGGTTGGGCCGGGTGTGGGCCGGGCTGAGAAGGGGCTGAAGGGGTACATTCCCAGGCAAAAGCACTGGCCCCTTCGAGGCCCGCTCGCAGCCCTCCGCGAGGCGCCAAGATTAATGCCCGGAGCAACAACTATTTACGCGCATGCACGGCAGAAACACGCCCTCGAGTTTTGCTTTTCGGGGTCGTTCGCTTAGCTGGATTGCGGTGGGGGTGGGGTTGGTTGGGGCTCCAATCCACATCGTCACTCTCGACACTCTCGTCCATCAAAGGCCACCTCACTTCACTTCGGCGCCAGAAAGGCCGAGCCATTGTGGCCGCACCGCGCCGCCCACTCGGTGAAAGTGTTTCAATGTTAATGAAATGGTCCGATAGCGACCCGATCCACGCTTTACTCTCCACGCACTACGCACCTGCTCCAGGGGGCTGAGGGGCCGCTTCCGGTAGCGCAGGCTGGTCATGGACTCCTGCTCGTCCAGGCCGCCCGGCTTGTGGTTGTGGTACCTGACGGGCCGGGGCGGTCCGGACGGCTGGGGCACCGGCTTGTGGTTCTTGTACTTGGGCGCGCGCTGGGGCTGCTGCAGGTGCGCGGGTGGCGGCGGCGGCTGCGGCCTGGGCTGCGTCCGGTGGTTGGGCGGCGCGCGCGCGGGACCCAGTGGGCCCAGCGACACGGCGGCGCTCTCGGCGGCGCTGGATTCAACAAGAAGCGGGTCGTGAGCGTCGCCCTCGTCCAGGCTGGGCCGGTGGTTGCTCAACTTGGCCGGCTTGTCCTTGTTAGTGTGCGAGCCGGGCAGCGCGTTCTGCGGCGCGGGGGTTAGCTTGTGGTTAGCGGGGGCGGTGTTAGTCTTGATGGCCGGGTTGGTGCTCTGCGCCACGGCGGCCTCCGCCACGTCCGCGAGCTGCAGCGGCTCGCTGGGCTTGAAGAGGACGGGCTCGGGCGGCCCGGACGGCCCCGGCGGCCCCGGCGGTCGGAGATACACGGCGGGCACGGGCGGCATCGGCAGCACCGGGGCATGCGTCGGGGACGCCGAGGACGAGGACGCCGACGGCGCCGCGTCGTCCACCGGCAGCAGGTTAGCAGGCAAGCGTGGGGGCGTTAGGTACACCGGGGGCGCCACAAGCACGTCCACGGCCTCCTGCGCCTCCTGCAGGGGCTCGGACGGGGCGGAAGGGGTGGGTTCGTACGCGATTTTGAGCGGCACCAGGTGCGACGGCCGCTTGCTGTGCCGCGCGTTGGCGGCGTTGGCGGGCTGCGTCGTCGGCTTGGGGTGCGCGCTGTACGGCCTCGCGGCGTGCTGCGGGTATTGCTGGGACTCCTCGGCGCGCTGCTTGGCCGGCTTGGCCGTCCTGGCCTTGCCGGGCTTACTGGCCTTGGGCTTGACGTAGTGCCTGTAGCCCTCCTCGTCGTCCAGCAGCGCGTACGGCCCGAAGTACGGGGCCAGGGTGGTGGTGGTGGGCGGCTCCGGCGTCGTCGACGTGGTGGTCGTCTCGGCGGGGGTCGTCGCCTGGGCGCCGCCCTTCGCCTTGTGATGGAACACGTGCTTGAGGTTGGAGAAGGGGAAGATCTGGCCGCTGGTGCCCGGGACCCTCGGGGCGCACACGGTCACGGCGAGGAACACGCCCAGCCACCGGACCTGCGGGACGCGGAGAACAACAAGGAGCCAAATAAAAATACAGTGTGATTCGATTTCAGAGCAGCTCCTCCACTCCACTGTACAGGCACTGCGCTGCGAGCCGCACGCTGGGCGGTCCCCCTTCCGTCGTGTCGAAATCGTCCGCGGCTTAACGTGACACTTCGGTGCGGCGGTGCGGTGTCTTTGCCCCCCTCCCTCCTTGCGGTGCGGAAGCCAGCCCGGATTAGGCGTCGCGGCTATCGGCGTGACATAATCGTTTTTCTGGACGGATATCCAGGGCTGGCCCGCGGACCGAACGAGCATGCGCGCCATGCGAACGGAATGGAGACAGGAAAGCAGCGAGTCCGAGTCCGACTAGGTGGCTGAGACGAATGGCCGTCTGACTCAGAAGAGCGTCCTGTCTCTGTCGCACGCCCCGGGCGTGCCTCGGGGATGCGAGAGAGACGGAGCGACGAAACGATGTAGTGCTTCGAAATCGCTCGGCCGGGGCCTTCATGGTGGCCTCCACGCCCGCGGGGGCCCGGGGACGTTTTTATATTTCTATGACTCGCATCAATGCGAGAGGGAGAGAGAGAGGGGGGGAAGAGAGAGAGAGAGGGAGGGAGAGGGAGAGAGAGAGAGAGGGAGAGAGAGAGAGAGAGAGAGAGAGAGAGAGGAGGGGGGGGGGAGAGGGAGAGAGAGAGGGATTGAGACCGATCGTTCCGCCGGACACGTGGCGGCCTAAGCCCAAAAACGAACTCCGAAAGAGGAAACGAAAACACTTACTCTCTCTCACTTTACTCCCGCGCGTGGATCAGGCGCGTCATTCAGTCTAAATCCTCGCGGTTAATTGTGTTTCGGTTGGCAATTCCGCTTGTCCGTCGATTCACCCGTTCTCCCCTGCCGGCTGCCCATGAGGGCTGCCGGCTGCCACCAGTCTACACCGCCAATTACCCCGTGTTTTACTTCGCGTTTCCCCGTTCTCTTATTTATATTTGCCGCCGCCGCCACTGCACTCGCGTCGAACCGAAAACGGAATGGCGCGGGGCGGAGCGCGAGGCGCGAAGCGGCCAGTGGAGAGCCTCGCGCCTCGTGTTTGCTTTTGATCGAGGGTGGGGAGGGGCAATGGCCCACCAGGCCCACCCGTCGCCAGGCGCGGATTCTGAAAAGTGGCTTCGTCGCTCCGTCTCTCTCGCACTCGTGGACCGTTCCGTGGGAGTGCGAGGGAGACAGAGCGACATACCACCGTGCCGGGATCTGGCCGGAAATTGGCGCGCTCCGCCCCACCAACTGGCCCACCCGATGGCCCACCGTGTTTTTCCGCGGAGCCCCTGCACCGCCACACACACCCACACACACAACGCCACACACCGCCGCCGAGCACACGCCGCCTGTTTGCAGGGCACACATTGGCCCTGTTAGCTTTGACATTCTGGTGGCCACGCGCGCCCCGAGTGTGAGTGCGTGTGTGCGTGTGTTGTTTGTGCGTCCGAGCGCGTGCGCGAGTGTGTGCGTGCGCGCACCAGGTGGTGACCGGAGAGAGTGACAATGAGAGAACCATTAGCGATTCGTCCATACAGGCGAGAGAGAGGGAGAGAGGGAAAAAGGGACGCTGTAAAACGACACCTGAGACCATTATTTCTCAGCTGGCCGCTCGGGCCGGCCGTTCCGGAGCGCGGCGCCGCAGCGCACATGCCGCACGGACAGGTGCGTGGCGGGCCGAGGCCGAGGGGCTGGCCAATCGGAGAGCCGAGGCGGAAAGCCGAGCCGGAACGGCGCCTCCGAGTGCAAGTGATGGTCGAGGCCCGGTCGGCCAGTCAGTAATGTGACTCTTCACGGAGATAAAATGAAATAATGTGGGCAGTATTATTTCAGAACCGCTGTGCTCCCCGCTTGCCCGGCATCCTGGGTGTGAATTGAAAAAAATCCTAGGTGTGAATTGGAAAGTGCGACTGCAGGTGTCGCCCTCCTCCTTTCTCCTCACTTCTACTCAAATTAAGAGGCTTTTCCAGTGGAGGTACTAGAGCGGCGCCCTCGATGCCACTTCCATGAGGCGCAGGTTCACCGAAGCCTGGATGAGTACTCGTCTGGCGCAGTACCAAGTACGCTAAATTACGCACGCAAATTGGCGAAATTTCCGGTAGATGGCGCACGCCGGCGTCTGACGCTGCAACCTCGTGTGACGACGACGGCGGCGGCCCGGCCGTGACAGGCGTGACGACTGCGCCGTGACGGGCCGTCACACGGTTCGTTGTGGCGTGGCCGGCGCGGCCGGCGTGCTGCACCGAGTTGGACACGGACACATGTCTGACGACATGCGCGGGCCCGCGCCGGGCCGGGCCGGTCGCGAGGACAACAAAAAACGAGAAGAGCTTTACGAGCGCGCTCTGATTGTGTAAGGGACGAGGTGCGGGTGCTCTCGTCGGCGTCCTGGGCGCGGCCGGCGCCAGCGTGCGGCAGCGCTGCTGGCCGGCAAACCGTCTCTTAATCCGATTCCGAGGAGGAAGGCGTCATTGCCGGGGAAAGTCTTGTTGAGTCGGACAACAAGTGGCCGGGTGGTGTCGGCGAGGCCATATCACGGCCCTTTACGACGGGCTGCCCGTCCCGGTTGCCCAGGGCTTCCATGACGGCCAGGTGCAGCGGGTCACTTAGACGGCCGTGCTCGTAAACACGTCGGCCAGCGCCGCAGCGCCTCGTGCCGAGGACAGTGTCAGTCACGCCCGGTCCTGGAATCCGCGCTGGAAAAAACCGTTTGGCAGCAAAACGGCACGAGTGGCTGGGCAGGCGGGCGGCAGGCGGGCCGGCCCGACACCCTGAGGGACCTAAAAGCAGACGATGACAATGGGTGCTTTGCCGCTTTGCCGCTCACTGGTTCGCGGAGACGAAAGTGGACTCGAGGCGACGCGTCACGTCGGCTGCCCGAAATCTGAAGCGGCAAGCCGAGTCCCGCTGTGCCGCGCAGTGCCGCGCAGTGCCGCGCAGTGCGCACCCGCCCGTCCCGTTTCCGCGAACTGGCGCGTCTAGAAAGCGCCCGCCTGCGGAGAGCCTCCAAGCTATCGCGAGGACTTGTGTTCGACCGTAAAATCGAATAGCTCGAATTATTTTGACGAAGGACCGAAGAGGGACGACACTTTCCACAGTCACACTACAAACCTAACTGTCCTCTCAGTTCACTCTTACAAATGCATGCTTGCAAGTGCAACTAAATTTATCACTCTTTTAACAACGGTAGGTAACATGCATTCTATTTTTTTAAACTGCGGCGATGGCTCTGGCAACTGACCCGCCAATATCGAAATAGAAGCGAAACAAATGACTCGAACGAGCGCACTGAGAAAGGCAGAATGAAAGCTGATAACAGTCCTTGTCGCGGTCAGACTGGTCCACCTGTAGCGTCACGTGCCGTCACCCCCGAGACGGCGCGGAGGGCACACTCGCCCCGCCGGGTCTCTGTCTGAGCGACTGGCTAACGAAGCGGCCGGCACTCACCCACGACAGGCGGGTCATGATGGCGCGGGTAATCCCCGATGACACTGCCTAGCCTAGTCACACGCTCGCTCACGTCGGCTCAATCACTGTCATGACCGCGGCTCGGCGCGACACGACACGCCACGGCAAGGTACGGCACGGCACGGCACGGCAGGTGTCACGGGACGCGTCGCGGCGCTGCGTAACGCGACGCTGGTGCCGGCACAATTAGGACTGGCCTGTCAGCCCCGGAGCGACTAGCGACTCCGGACTCGGGGCGGCAGGCCGCCAGCCAGGCCGCCAGCCAGCCCGACGGCGCGGCGCACAGCCGCCGGAGACGCCAGGCGAGACGCCCCCTCCCCTCCCCCCTCCCTTCCCTTCCCCCTCCCCTCCTACGCCCTCCCTTCCCCGCCCTCCCTCGTCCGGCCCTCCGACGAGATGCACCGGTAAGCGTCCTTGTCTTGTGGCGCGTACGGCCCAGTGACGTCACACTGCGTGCTTTCCTCGGCTTCCTCACACACACACACACATGGCGGTGTGGACTTTCTCCCCCAGTGTGCCAAACGGACATGCAGACACGCTGGCAGACACGACGATGGACACGCTGGCGGACACGCCGACGGACACCCTGACCGAGTGAGCGACGGCGTGGCCCCGTGGTTGCGCGTGGTCCACGACGGTCCGCGGCGGTGCGCCGCCAGGGTCGCCTCTGCCGGATCGCTGGCCATCGGGGCCGCTGCGGCTTGGCTGCGGCTCGGGGCAGCCTATCAGCCGCGCAACCGATTTAATAACCAGCATGACGTTGACTCGGTTTACTGACGGCGAGGCAATACCCCCGCGGCCAATACCTCCGCGAACGGCAGCGGCGGGCTTGGCGCCCGTGGAGTCCGGGGTAGGCCGCCCCGCGGTGCGGCGGTGCGCCCGGCTCGCCTATCCTCGACTTCACGGGCGCCTCGCCTCGCCCCGCCCAGGTAATCGTCCCAGTCCAAGTTGGGTGTGTGACGTCGGCAGTCGGCGCCCGGGGGCGTCCCGGGGGACGCTCTGGGGGTGGGGGCGGGGGCGGGGACGCCGCGGCGGAGGCGGGCATGTGTACAATCCGCGGCGTGGGAAACTTTTTAATCCCGTTTGGAAAGAGCGCAATAAGTCCTGGAGGGTAAACCGCCATCCGGCTTGACTCGACGCTGTGCCGCGCTGTGCGGCGGGGCTGGCGGGGCCCTCCCGCCCCGTGTGGCATTTGAATAGCGTCTAGGGGCTTAGGGGAGGCAAGCCCCGCTCTCCATCGCAAATTGACGCGCCGCCGGAAAAGTGTGCGACTTTTCCTCCACGGCTGTCGCGGCTGCGCTTCGCCGCGCTGTCTCTCTCACACCGACGCGGATAGCTCCTGGAAGTGCGACAGAGACACACCGGCACTGTTTCGAATCAGTCCGCCATTCTTGCCTTCACGGCGGGCACACTGTGTGAGCTCCATGATCGGCATCCAGCCGCCTAACCCGCTCCCTCTCTGCCTGCATAGGTCGAAAGGGGAGGGGGGGGGGCGCTCCAGAAGGGAGGCACAGTGGGCCAGAAGCCTGGTGGAGGCGGCCAAAACTCTAGACGCGTTTCGAGCTCCAGCGTCGCTAAATGGGACTCGAAACGCGCGTGTGACCCCACCAATGGATTGCTCTCCGAACGAGGAATCCATTGGTGGGGTCACACGTTTGGTTCGAGTCCCATTTAGCGACTCTGGAGCTCAAAACGCGTCTAGAGTTTTGGCCGCCTCCGCCGGTCTTCTGGCCCACTGTGGGAGGCCGGCATCCTCCTTTCTTTTCCCGCTGCAAGATCCCGTTAAGGCGGACGGTCCGGTGTTTCTTTGAAGTGCCTTTTCCGCTGGTAGTTACACTGAGTTTTCGGCTGAGTAACTTGGGCGAGGCCCAGGGCAGAGCGGCAGGGCGGCGGGGCCGCGGCAGAGCAGGGCACAGCGAGGCCCAGCCAATCTTACCGCGGCCGAGTCGGCAGGGCGTGTCGGCTGCCAAATTAATGGGCCGGACTCGGTACGTTTAGGCCGGTCCCTCGGGGAGCAAGGCGCAGCATCGCGCCGCATCGCGCGGCAAAGGCGTGCACAAACTTCGGCTTTATCTTTCCAGGTAGTTTGGCCGGCCCTTTTGCTCCCCCCGGTTCCAATTTGACATTTAATTGCCATCGGTGCAGGCGGGGCCGAAGATGGGTGCATGGGTCTGCATCCGGAAGAACTCGAACGAGCCGCCGATTGTTCGGGTCGGGTCTGGAGTGCACTTTCCCGCCTCAGTTTGAGGACAGTTACTGCCGCAAAGTCGGTCGAAAAGGCAACAAACGTGTGGGAACTGCGGTTTGGGCTTTGTTCAGGCAGCCACTGCGTCTAATCCAAGGCGGAAAATCGTACTCCCTCAACGGGTAGGTAGTCTTTGGATCTTCCATTAGCACGCCTTTGTCACGGAGTACGATTTTCCGTCTTAGTTTGGCAGCCGAATTGCTGCAAAGTCGGCCAAAACGGTCACGAATGCGTATAAATCGAGGTGTGGGCTGACTTTTCATTCGAATTTCATTTCATTCTACTGTGAACGGGGCTGTTCCGGCGGGCGAGCGGCTTCCCTTTCACCACAGTGCTGGTAACACAGGCGTGAGGCTCGCGGCCGATGATTTATGTGCAGGCTCAGGTATGGGGCCTACAGGCTGTTGCCCCGTCTCTCTCGCGGCCCCTCCAAGCTCTCCACGAGTGCGAGAGAGGCTGACGCGTCGTTCGGAATGAGCTGGCGGGCAGGCCGGGGGCGGGCAGGTCGGGGGCGGCGGTCTCGGGTGCGGTTGCGGGGCGCGTGGGGCTCCCAGAAGTAGATAACGAAAAACGGGCTGACAGGCCGACGGTGGCAGCGGCGGCCTGCAGCCAGCGTTTGACGTGTTATTCTCACGCATATGGCGCGCAGAACGAAGAGGAGGGGGAGGACGCCGTGAGCGCCAACTCGAGTCTTCTCCCCGCACTAAATTGGGAAATATGTCACGTCGCGGGCCTGCGTTCCTAGCTCTACACCTTTCCCCTGTCCTTGCCACGCGTGGCGCGGATATCCATCCCCCTTCACCCTTCACCATCGATACGCCATTTCGCCATTTATTTTTGGAGACGCCTCGGGTTCTTGCTCCCACGCTCGGCATCGGTCATCGCCGTCCCCGATTCGCAGAGGAAGAAAAAGACACATTTCCGAATCCATTTTTGCCCCGGCTGGGGGCTTGTTCGCGTCCTGCGGGGATTAGAAGCGGAAGAATGACTGCCGGAACCGGAAGTAAGGCCTCGGAACGGTCGCGGATGTCGCAGGTGTGGGCGGCCAGCCGGGCAGGCAGGCAGGCAGACAGGCAGGCAGACAGGCAGGCAGGCAGGGCTTAGCGGCATGTTCCGCGTGCCCCGTTTGAACAGCCTCGTTCATCGCCCAGTGCACGTTCTGCTCCAGAGTTTGCCGTGCGCGTGTGTGTGTGTGGGCGCGCTGCAGTGGCGGCGCTCGTCGTCAGTTTGGCTGGGAGTGCCTTTAGCTCCCTTCAGGCCCCCGCCTGCACAGGGCCCCGCAGTCTGATTCCGGAGCCGCCCCCTCCCTCTACGCCGGTGTGGGAGTCTGACTGTTTGGGAGGTTGGCGGTGGCCAGGCCCACCCTGTTTGTTTTCACCCGGAGCTTCATTAATTTTACGCTGGCCTGGACCGAACACACGCAGCACGTAGTGGGTTGCGGCGCTGCGGCCAGACACTGGGGCCAGACATTGCAGCCCCCCTCCCCTCCACTCCAGTGCGACGCGCCACCGCCACCAAGTCGGCCGGCGAGGAGTGGCGTCTGCGAAGCCTGCAAAGCTGCAAAGCGGGGAACACGTTATTGACTCGACATCGATACCACGGCCGAGTGGCTGGCTGGCTGGCTGGCTGGCTGGCTGGCGGCGTGGCGGGGTGGCGCCAAACTCCGGCGAGGCACGCGGCACGCGCCGCAAGGCCCAACTTTAGAGTGCATCCTGAGTCGGGGCTTGTCGGCCCCACCCTCGCCAGTCCCTCCTTGACGTCAACAGCCACTCCACCCTTCACCCTCACCTGCGCGCACCGTATGCAGGGCCGGCGCCTAAACGGCACGGTCGCGGTCAAGCCTCCACGGGCTGCGCATGCGGAAAGGAGGATCCGAAGAGGCCTGCTGGGGACTTTGTTTACTGCAGCAGAATCAGCCCACATGCAACAAAATTTTTGAAACCAAGCTGTTGGAAACCAGGATAGAGTACTGGACTATGCAACGAAAAATAGTTGGCGGGTCCTGTGGGGATTTGATCCGCCGTCCGATGAGATGGCGTGTCATAATGGCTAAACGAGGAACATAAACGCCTCCCCTCGTGATGGGGCGCGCACGGTTAGGGGTGCCCCCCTCCCCCTCCATCAACAATGTCTGCGCCGGATGCGGAAGCTTTGGCCACGATGACGGCAACACAGTCGCCCTCGACAAGTACGTCACGTCCGGGTGGGGGCGGGCGCGGGCGGCGCGGGGGAAGCACCACTTCTGGAAACCACCAAGCTAGCGCCAATTTAACTTTTCAGTTTGAAACTCCCATTTCGCACTTGCGCTTCCTTCTTCTTGGGGTTTATATTCCGCTTCCGGTGCAATTGCAGTTCTTGATCCCGGATCGCTCGGCCCGTTTTGTCCGCCGTGCCATCGCGAGGGAGAGAGGCAGAGGGGGAGCAAGAAAGAGAGAGAGAGGGAAACAGCCCCGGAAGACGCGAGAGTGCAGTGGGCCTCGCCCCACCCCTCGCCACTCTTCTTGTACTCCGATATCTGTCGCCTCCCCCCGCCGGCCCACCCCGGGCCCGGCCCGGCCAGGCCTGGCGCAGCGCCCGGCAGCGGAGCCCCCAAATGGAGGCGAAGAGAACACCTCCTCAAACTACAGATGTACACTTAAAAGTTAAATAAAGTTGAGAGTGCGGCCTCCGCTGCCGGCTTGTCGCCAGCTTGCCTGGGTGGCAAGCGCGGCAAGTCGGCGCTGCAGCTGGGCCGGCTGGGCAGGCAAGCCGCGGTACGCCCGAGCTGGCAGTGTGGCGGGGCCACGCGGCGCCGCGTCGCGCCGTCCTGCCGTCCTCGCTCTTCCAAACAGAAACAATTTCTTGCCCGGAATTGAGCGAGCGGCCCACGAGGTACACTGCTTCGAGGTGGTTGCCAATCACTGCCCCGCGGACGTGTGCCTGTCCTGCCAAGTCGCGGCGTAGGGTC